TAATTTTTGTTTTTTGAATTACGATCAAAATGAGTGTGTGTGTTCCGATAATTGAATTGCGGGAAGCGTCACTTTACCACATCAGTTTCGTTTCCCACGAATCCGAGCCAATTCGGACATTTCCGGGATTGTACCGCACGGATTTGGGAGCAATCGGATGTTTTCAGAGATATTTCCCACGCTTTTCATTTTAACGTCTGTCAATTCTGACGGTCATGTCAGTCAATATACTCGTGTTGGTTTGCAAAAATGTACCCAAATACTAACGATCGTAGAAAAAGTATAGTATGCAACACGTTCGGTAAACTCTTTAACTTACTCGTTTATTAAAAACTCGCTCCTCTATGCTCCGTTGTGTCAAATAAACTCGTGAGTCAGATATGTGCATATTCTTTTGAATATAAATAAACCAAAATAACATTCTATTCTAACTTAGTTTTTTCTTTAACATTAATTACTTAGATTCAATATAAAATCAACAAGTAATATAAGTGAATAGAACTTTTTACTAATTACAAAACATTTTCACATAACCTTCATCTTTCTAGCTCTTGCAGAATTCTCATTTTTAAGTGTCGAACACTATTTTTATACACTTCGTTTTTAGGCAGCCCCATGATTTAAACAATTTCAAACAGGCACTATATATTTGAAAAACAATCACTTCTTTAATATCGTACGACAGATTATCAATTTATAGAAATATATAGTTCTCCAATGAATTTAAATATCTTTCACCATTCATAACAAAATTATAAAATACTGGGCCTATTATTCGATCACATATAATGTCACACCACACATAAACACTTCTCCGACAATGTTTCTTAATTTCTGATACACGATTTCCATTGGAGATATACCAGTAATGAGTATTTTTTCTATTGAATTTTTTAAAAAATGTTACTTTCAAAATAGTGGTCCATCATAAGGGAGCAATAAAAAAGTGCTGGATAATTTCGGAACTGGATGGAAATGGATGGTAGTTATCAAATTTCAAAGTAGTTTGAAGTGAATTTTCGTTGTTTTCTTCAAAATACAAAAGAACTTCTAATTGCTTCTCTTGTATTAGAACAATTTTTGAAAGGCGTTCTCAGTTAATGACTACCACTCCCCGTTCAATATCACGAACAATTCTTGAGAAAATATGTTTCGTGGGTACCCGTCTTGTAGGATAGAACTAACCTATATTCTCTTAGGGCTAATGCTGGACTTATCATTTCTTTTGTAACATTCACGGAAATCTAAACGCTCTTGAACACTGTAAAAGGCCATTTTTTCTTTTAAAAAAGTTGCTAACAACTAAAAGTCAAATAAAACTTGTGTATTTCTGTCCCGGCAACAATTTTATTAGTGTTTTTTCATGGATATTTTGCAAAAAAATAAGCCGCGGTAATTATGTTCAAGCGAAGACGAGGTGACTTTTTAAAAACTTTATTTTCAAAATACAATCGAAAATTAAAAGTTTCTGCAGCAGCAGTTACAACAAGAATAATCATATTACTTAAAACTAAGTCTTTATAGGTTCGTATCCGAAAAGCTGACAATGTGAATCTCACGGTCTCTTCATAGTACCATCGTGGCCAAATGCTGACATCGTAGATCTCACGGTGTCTTATCTTTATTACGTAGAAATCATTGTACATAACTCGGTTACAAATGCTATTGCGGAAATTGCAACCATACTACATGTTTACGGGGATTAGAAAACGTTTTATAATAATTAAAAAGTTCTATTTACTTGCATTACTTCTTGATTTTATATTGAATTTAAATAATTAATGTTACAAAAAAACCTAGTTAGATTGGGATATTATATAAGGTTTAGTTAGATTTAAAATGAAATACACGAGTTGTTTCAGAAAATTGGCCATAACTACTAAAATATCAATAGTAATAAAAGCTATATATATGATAGAAAATTAAATTCCAAACCCAAAAAAAAGTACTAAATACAGGGTGTTCCATTAAAAAGAAGAGTTTTTTCAAATTTGATGACATTTTTTGACGGGTATTTGTAATAATATATTTTCGCCATAGATAGGTCAAGGCACCGCCATAATAAAAATTCCCAATTCCCAAATGTAAAAAAAAACATTTTTCGAAAGACCTATTTTTCCGCGAATAAATGGAAAGTTAATTTTTTTCAAAATTTTCTCAAAATTTCATATACTCTGTAATGACAAAAGATACTCAAAATCAAACGAATAATTAGAATTTTTTAAAAAATTGATAGCATTCCATTAAAAAAAAATGGTTACTATCCTGGCATAACGGAACATATAACACACAAAAATACTATAAATAAAATATATACTTAGAATCGAACACTTTTTTTAGTGTCGTATTTATTGAGAAAAGGTAACTAAATTATTTCAAGAAAATAACTTTAGAAGAATAACTGCTGCCACATGAACGTCATCAGCTTTCAAATTTCTTAATTGGTAACTATGATCAGATTTTTTCCGCACAGAGTAGAACATATCTGCATTTTTTTAATTTTTTTCTTTTGCATGCTAAAATTGATGATATGGAAAAAAAATATTTCGTCAGACGGACTAAAACACTAAAACGTTATACTTATTATCTGCGATCATCACTAAAATGAGGACGTCCTAAAAATTGTCAACAACTTTAAAAAATATGTTTCCATTGTTAATAAATATCCTATTTTATAGATACAAAAATTGTTTGCTGTTCCAGAATGATTCGAGAAAAAAATTTGTTGTATTGCTACGAAATTTCAGTCATTTCCAACACTTACAACTCTTGTGTTGGTCGTTACTTCTGTTGCAAAACTGCAAAATTTTCAAAGAATGCAATTTTGTTTATATATCCGACCACTCTAAGATTTTTGGTTTTATTATTTAACTTGCAAACGAAGAGATCAGAGTATGTCTTATTTCTTAGTATGCATTATTATTTGTGGTATACTTACATACTTTAACTGTAGTGATAAGCAACTACAACAAGAAAAAATATGTAAAATATTTTCGTTCTTTAATTACACGGAGAATAAGCCAACCCAAGGATCACATCTTGTATATACTTACATTTTCAAATTCAATATAGAAGAGATTAATTAAAACTAACCAAAATTATGTTTTGTGTAATGTCTAGCCCAAATAGCGACAATATTTTTGGATCACATGCGATTGTTTTATCTTATTTCCGTTTTTTTATTACTCCAGCGAAAAATCCTTTCATATTCCAGTAGAGACATCCGAGAGTACCTATTAAGTTTTATGGCATCTTTATAATAGAAATGACTTTATTTTATTGCGGAAGTAAAATGTTATTCGTCTTATCAGAAACGTGTGCATTTTTATATGTTCATCTACGAACCGTAATCACATTAAAATAGGCACATTATTGACATGATGACACGTTATATTTCTATGACAAGAGTAAGGAAATAAAATGTTATTTAGGCATAACAAAACTTTGAACCACAACCTCGCAAAATTAAATTGATAGAATAGAACTATTATCTTAAGAGGTAAAAAAAAATATACACAAAAGTTCGCCACATATAGTCTAGAAATATTAAATTGTTCAGTTTCAGATTGTGCGGGTTTTTGGAACAAGGTGGACTAAATGAACCTGTGTCTATAGAGAAATAAATAAAAATCATTAAATGTTCTGCAGACAATCAGCCTAACCAGCCTAACTGAGACTGAAAATTGGGTAGTGTTCAGAACAAAACTAGAGATGAGTTTCTTTGTATCAAATTGTTTATTCATCACTCTCCTGCAACTATTGGGAAAGTCAATTACAGTAAACTTGCTTTGTTGGGAATAAAGTTCCAGTATATTATCTTATTTCCTTGTGATAGTGCAACGCCATGCAAAGTGTACAACCACCACTAGAACAAGGAGACTAGCAGATTACAAATTCTTTCATTGAAAGTTGCGAGTTGGGATTTAAAAAAAATAATTGCAAGAGTATCTGAAAACAAAATCGTTCTCCCTGATTCTAAATAATTCAAATTAAACCGGTTTAATATAGTATTACGGTTGTTAAATTTTATATTTCGTTAAGGTATTCTCGGAGTGTGAAATAGATAATTAAAATCATCAAGCACACGAGACAATCTGATATATTATTCATGCATGCTCCAACGCACGGGCAATCAAATTCAGTCCATAAATATAGCTTATGCATTATTCATATGGGGGCAAATTTATAAAACCTGCAAGAAATTCATTTTTATTATGATGATGGAAAACATGTGCGTAATATTATCGCAAGGCATTAAGCTTACTCGACGCCTAAAATGTACTTAAAGGCAATCCAGACCTTCCTTGTACGATGACACTATATCTTTAAATCACCAAAAAATTCTAAATTTAAACGAGTGTGTCTCTATAGAGAACATTTTCCTAGATAACATATCGAAAAAAGATAATAAGAAATATTTGAAAACAAAAATCTTTTTTAAAAAAAACTTCGCTAAAAATGCACAAGCATTGTAATTTTTATTTTCAATATGTATTGAAATCAACAGACAAAATTTTTGTAAAAGTGATGGGCGAAGAAAACTTAACTGTTTATCTTTCAATCCATGTTTTTATAAACTTTTTTTCCCGAAATTTCCCAGGAAACTTTTGTTCCTCCAACTCTAACTAAATTGAGGTAGCGCGTGTTTAGTAAACTTTGTTTATGACGTCGGCATATTTACTTCTTGACTTTTGAGACCGGTTCCGCTCCAGAATCGACTCGTAAGGGAAATCCTTTGTAGAGCTTACAATGGCTTTCTATATATTCTCGAATTTCCTCTCGAAGGAAACTTAAAAGTTTGAGGAATCGCGAAGGCATTGTTATATCAGGTGCGACGATACTCGGTAATTGCAACCGGGAAATATTGCCTCCACAACACCTAATCAAGAACATCGTAAATCGGAAAGTCAGCAAAAAGTTTACTGAGTTGAAAGAGTTTTGTTAACTTGGTTACTGCGAAAACAAACATGTTAAAATTGTAATTTTCGAATTTGTTCTAGGAATCCGAATGCTGGATCAACCCTATATGACTGATTTAATTGAAGCTAATTCAATGGGACACGAGCCAAACTTGATCGATATATACAGTGCGTCTTGGGGACCTACCGACGATGGAAAAACTGTCGATGGGCCCAGAAACGCCACCATGAGGGCAATAGTAAAAGGTGTCAACGAGGTAAATGAAATAAATTTGGAAAAAATAAACAATAGCGTACCACTTAAAACTTGTTATTCAAATCTACACGCTAAAGGTTAAGTCAAAAGATAATTGAGTTCCGAAGATTTAATAACAAAATGACACACTGTATATCAAGTTATTCATCAAAACGGAAATATTTTTTATTTTTGCTTCTCCAATTTTTTTTTAGCAGCAGTAATTTGGACAAAATGCTATTGAAATAAAACCAATGACAGGTTTACAACAGATATAAATAAATAGGGTATACGAGGTCTGACAATTAAGTAATGCTACAAAATTCAAAAGTCGAGTATATTTAAAAATTAAGGTACATCGAATTCAAAGTAGTCCCCTCCCGCACCTATACACTTATTCCAGCGAGTTTTCCAGTTTTCGTAACAATTCTGGAACACTTGTTGTGGGACGTCTCCGAATAACCTCGTCACAGATTCTTGGATATCTTCAACGACGTCAAAATGTCGACCTTTGACGAATTTTTTTATACGGGGGAATAGGAAGAAGCCGCAGGGTGACATGTCCGGTGAATAAGGCGGTTGCGGTAACGTTGAGATGCCTTCAGACACCAAGAACTGAGAGACACTGAACGCAGTGTGGCAGGGCGCATTGTCGAGATGCAGAACCCTAGTCTTCGCGATCTCTGGACGCACTCTGAGCATCCTTTTTCGTAACCTATCGAGCACATTGCGGTAGAATACTTCATTTACGGTCTGTCCAGGTGGTACGAACTCTTTGTGCTGTCGAAGAAGCAAATCAACATGGTTTTTACTTTGGACTTGCTCATTCTCGCCTTCTTTGGCCTTGGCGCTCTATAGGACAGCCACTGTTGGCTTTGTCGTTTAGTTTCGGGGTCATATTGAAAGAACCTACCAACAGTATGTACTCGATCGAAAAGAGTAGGGTCACTTTCAACCTGCTCGAGACAATCTTGAGCGATATTCAATCGGTGGGCTTTTTGCTCATGGTTAGTCGCCTGTCTTCACGAACAAGGACGCGCACATGATTCGCATTCGCGTCGGTTCGCACTTGAATTGGCCTTCCGCTCCGCGTCTCGGCTTGGATGCTCTCACGGCCATTTTTAAAATCGGCATGCCACCGAAGCACCTGACTACGACTCAGGGCATTCCTACCACACACTTTAAGAACCTTTTCATAAGTTTCTGTCGCGGTTTCACCCAGTTTCGCACAAAATTTTATCGCGCACCGTTTGCTCTAAATTTCTCGGTTTCATTTTCGTGACATGCACTTGTCGCGCATTATTACAAAACAATAAACATCAGGCGAAGAAATGATCATACGAGAGTCGTCAAGGTCTCAATCGAGAGAGTAAGGATCTGCTATTACGGTAGCTGAGCTACAGGTTCGCAGTGTTACCACAGGCCGATAAACAAAATAGGTCGCATTACTTAATTGTCAGGCCTCGTAGATCCAAACTACCCGTGCAAAACTGGATTATTTAGAGAATCAATTTTTTACTCAGTTTTCTATATTGTTCTATATGTTCTAATTATGGTTAGTTTTTGTGTGAATTCAAAACGAAATGCAAGAACCATAAACTAAACCGGCACCAACAATATATACAGCAATAATATTATCAGGGTTATTCACAGTGAGTGTCTTATCAGACGTTTATATAGAATGGCTTACGATAAAAACCTGAAATGTTCTTTACTTATGTCATGCGGTGTTGGCAGATATACTTGTAACGTAACCCGCGAGGGCGCCCCCCTTTAATACCAATACCAATACCAATACCAATACGTATATCAACTTTCGTCCCTTGAATGGAACACCCTGTATATTATTTTTTATGTCACATGTTCCACACTTATTTTGAACATTTTCGGAGATAAAAATACTTTTTAAGAAATTTGGCAGCAAACAAGCCGATAAAAAATATTTTTTTTCGCAACCCGTACTGCTACACACTTGAGTTTCTGGTTGCGGTTCGCTATTAAATTTCTTTATCATAATTTAGTATGAGAATTAGCTTATGGCGTACAAGGCGTTCATAAGATAAGGCCCAATTGACAAGATATAAAAATCCATGTTACGTGAGTATTTTAAATGGAACACCATATGTTTTGTATTGGCATGTAAATGAGCAATCAATTTGGCATCTAAAAGTACCAAACAATGGTCTATCTATTTTAACTGGTTTTCGAGTTATAAGCAAAATACCAAAATATTGCAATTAAAACCAATTTCATCTGGGTTTCCTATATAAAAATAACTGATATGTCTAGATGCGTTCATAGTTAAAAGTTGCATTTATTTGAGAAAGCAATATGGGACAAAATTATTTATGGCAAACGTCAAAGAATTGTTTTAAAAACGTGCAGGAGATTTAATAAACAATATCCGCATTTGTCGCCAATGTATGAGAAAAACTTTAAAAGAATTGGAGCAAATTTTCGAAACCTACGAAGAAGGCAAATTCTAAAACCTAACACTCTAACACTCATTTCCACGTGCGTCTATTCCGAGCGCTAAAGATGACTTGGGCATATCTTATTCGTCCATTCAATGGATACTTAAGAAATATAATATGCATCATTACAAAATCATTACATTACAATCTCTTCTCCCGCGTAGAGTGTTGTGAAATGATATTGGTTAGAATACAACATCGAGAGTCTTTGAAAATAATTATTTGGACCAACGAGTCAAAGGGTACTTTTAACAGAAGAAATAATCATTTTTGGTCATCAGACAAACCAAAATTTATACGAGAAAAGCGATTTTAACATACATTTATAGTTTCAACTTCCTTCGTTTGATGATGGATATTGAAATAGTTTTTTGTATCTACAACGAGAATTTGAACGAGAAAAAAATTCTGGATATTTTATGAACAGTAGTTACAGATTTTTTAGACAATTTGCTATTAATGTTAAATCGTAGATGTTGGTACCGACTTAATCGAGCTCCGGCTCATTGCACAAATAGAGTAAGTCAAGAACTTACAATCATGTTTAAAAACAGAGGTTTCGAAAGATATTACACCGGTTGATGCGAGTGCTAATAAAGAAAGAGCGTAAACCTCCAGTTCGAAATTCAAAGGCAACAGTTTCCAATGTTCCGATGCATGGGTGTCTTAGAGCAAATGAAGGTCATTTCAGGCATAATATCTAGTTCTATGTAAGTCAAAATAATTTAAAACCGATTATTAGTCTTTAACATCAGCTTTTGTATAAAAGTATCTATGAAAATTAAATTTTTGTTGGCATATGTATTTCCATCCAGTTTCACTGTTAAAATTACTCATTTGAACACGCTTATAACGGAATATTAAACTTATTTATGTCAAAGATAAATGTGATTACTTTAATTGGCTTTAATTGCAATATTTCGTTTTTTGTTTTTAACTCGAAAACCATTGAAAATATTGGGTAGTACTTTAAACCATTTAAAATTTCCACGTAACATGGATTTTTATATCTTGCCAGTTGGATTTGATCTTAAGAACGCCCTGTACGCGATAAATTAATTCACGAAAAAAATTATTATTTTACGTCGGGTTGTTTGTTGCCGAATATCTTAAAAACCATTTTTTATCTCCGAAAATATTCAAGACACATGTTACATAAAAAAGTTCCAGAATATTTCGCAGAATCTGAAAACGTAATAATATACAGGATGTTCCATTTGAAAAACAAAAGTTGATATACGTTACGAGTATATCTGGTAACAACGCATTTCCAAAACTATTTCACATCAGTAGCTCATATTCGCTTACATAGTAACCCACATTTCAGGTTTTTACCGTAAGTCATTGTCCATAAAAGTCTAATAGGACACTCACCGTGAATAACCCTATATATTGTGAAAATTTTATTCTCCGTTATTTGCCCGTTAATTCTTACAGCAAAATGTTGGAAATCATTTGAAATCCTACGACCCTATATCAAAATTTCTTAGTCAAGTTAGTCAAAAGTGAATAGAAATAATTAGCGGAGCAAGTCTGACACATCTGTAAATGTTAACGCAAAGTGCATTATAAAATCTGCGACTTTTAGTCTGTTACTGGTAAATCACTTGGAAAACCTATTTTTGTCGCCCCGTCTTCTGGCACTGACACTGTTATTATCAACATCAAGAGCATTTTTTAAACTTAATTTAGAATAGTTTTTGTAGTGAAATTCAGTCAAAAGGATATTTTCAAAGTTAATGTACGACTCAAGTGTGCCTTGAAATTGTCAGAATAACCAATTATTAAATAAACAATAACAGCCGTGAAGGTTTCAGGTTAAAAATTAATTCACTGTTTTCAAGGCTTTTGACCAATTTTGATCTTTTCTTAAAAGGAAAACTTTGAAAACTTTGTTTAGTGTACGATTGAGAGATATGCAAATTTGGAAGAGCTTGTGGGGATCAGAAGTAACAACTGTCAATGTTGTTTAAAAGAAAAAAAAAGTCTAATTTTTATGAAGATAGAAAATTTTGAACGATTTGTACTTACACAGCATATGTGTATATTATGCGGTTTCGGATTATTGAACTTGTACCGGAGTTCGTATTTGAATATCTTCGTAAATAGTAATCCGTGTACAATGAGCAATGGCTTGTTCATTTATCAAAGTTCGGCAAAATTTATGACTTTAATCTGCGTAAATGCTCCCATCCGTATTTCATATTTTGAAACCGATATTGTTTTATACAACAAACGATTTTGCTCTCTACATCTGTAATGATTAAAATGCTGAGCCAATATAGTAATAAATTAAGAAAACAATTGAACGCTATCGGATTTAGCCGCGCTAATAAAAATGTTTCATATAAAATAATAAAAAGTGTCGTTAATACACCCTATCGAGCTTGAATGGATCAATGGAAACATTCTATTGTACATGTATTTTATTAGGGTTATTCTACTTTATAATTTTTAGAATATATTGGTTTTCAACTTTCCAGCAAAATATTGAACCAAAATGTATATTTTACTTCGTTTCGTCCATTAAACAATATTGCCCGATCGAAAATACTTCAGAAAATTATTTCTAATTATCTTTAATCCATCTCCATTAGAAATAAAATCATAATTTTAAAATCATAATAAAATTACGACAAAGGAGACAAATGGAAGAACCGCATTTTGGCACATAGCTTATTTCTTTATTATAATCCTACATTCGTTTTAACATACAATTTAAAACACTGTGGTGTGCTCCTCTTATTACCTCATTCGCTGCCTTTGGTAGACAGAGTGCTATACTGAAATTCGCTTTAATATTTTCTTTTGTGTGGTGTAAGCACATTAATTTCCATTGTACGAAAAACTAAAGCGGGTATGCAGATGACGGGTGAAAAGGATATATTTTAACTTTTAAAAGCTGCGTAATTAGCGTTTTGTTCATGATAAAAATGAATACACCCATTTTTCACAAAACAAAAACGTTGTTCGGGTCCGTCAAACGCAAGGATGGAAATAAATAAATCACCGCGAAAAAACTTAAACTGAACTAAAAGTTTATTCCGTCCAAAATATTATAGTCACTAAGAGCTAAAACTACTACTTCTACAGACTGTGATTAACTACCCACACATCGGTTACTACTACTTATTTTTCACAGCAGCAGAACATGGTTCTGGGACAATCAAGAGATCCTTGATCAAAGAGGTAGTGGGAGTGCACCAGTTGTCTTTTTTTGTGTACTTACAACAATTTTGAAATAACGTAGCTATTGTTATATTTAGGGTCGAAACGGCCTGGGAAATATTTACGTTTGGGCCAGTGGAGATGGCGGAGAAGATGACGATTGTAACTGTGATGGTTACGCTGCAAGTATGTGGACCGTGAGTATCAACAGCGCCATAAATGACGGACAGAATGCCCATTACGATGAAAGCTGTTCTTCAACACTAGCCAGTACATTTAGCAACGGAGCGAAGGATCCCAACACGGGAGTGGTAAGATTTATTCTACTTAATTTTATCCTCTAAAGCCAAGTGCAGTTGCTAAAACACTTCTCGTCTTTAGCTGATTACCTTGCGCCGATAGTTTTATAAAAAAAAAATTATGGTCACCAGTGCACGCACAGAACGTTGGGAATTTATCTTTGCTTTCATTATTATAAGATGTTATCTTTATCGAGGTACAAATTGTTTTAGTTGAACTGCTGGACACACCGAGGGAAAAATAAAAACTGTAAATATCCCAAATGCCTATGCAGAACCAAACTGTTTTTAGATTCGAAAATTTCAATATGATAAAATTAAATTTATTAATTATGCTAATAGTTTTGGGCGAACTTGTCAAATAAAGCGAACAAAAAATAATGAAATCGAAATCGGATTTTCCCGAGTACCTCCGGAACCACTTGCTTTGTTAACTGCGAACTGGACATTTAAAAAAAAGGTTTTTTTTTATTTTACTAACGTTTCAAAAATGTATCTAGTAAAAATTTTTTCCGAACGTATTAATTAATTAATTGACTAGACCTCGTCAGAAAAACAGTCGAGTTCGATATGAATGCTCAAAATTGAACACAAGTCATCTATCTATCAAGTATGCCCATGTGTATTTTTTGTGTCGGTTTTGTCGTTGTTGTTTTGTCAGAATCATAAAAACAGTTTGTTTTTTATGTAGTTGTCATAAATAAACTTGCACACATAAATTTGTTATCAAGTTTATAGTAATCAAAAATAGTCACGACAACCACATTTTGGATGTAAAATAACACCTTAATAATGCACCTCTTAAAACTCTCATTTCAGTGGAAAGCGTCCGTAATAATTAAATTATTTTAGACATAAATTACCATTGATATTGATTTGGGCAGCGGTAGGCCCCAATTAGCTCTTCGCAGAATCTACTCTGTTATTTTCTGACTGTTGTAGGCTTAAAAAATCAATTTAGACTTTCTTGTTTGAATTTTCAACAAATAAAGTAAGTAAATTCCTTGGAATATTTAAGCTCTTAATAAATTTTTAAAATACATTTCAACGATTTATCTCAAAAATTAACTAGTTTCAAAATGATTAGAATTTTGTAATTATGTCCGTCTAGTGTGTCAAATTTTGACAAACGCAGAAGAATGTTCTAAAATAAGCAAATCTAAAGCACATATACTTCTAGGCAACAACTGACTTGTACGGTAAATGCACCACAACCCATTCGGGAACATCTGCTGCGGCACCCGAGGCTGCTGGGGTTTTTGCCTTAGCCTTAGAAGCCAAGTGAGTATTCGCTCATACACTTATGTTCGTTCAAACATTTTTCTTTGAAAAACGACGAGTTGCTCTTTATGTTTTGTTGTTTCATACCTCAGTTCAGTAGTTCATTCATTAAATGTCATATCCAAATGCATGCATGGCTATTCAGATTTATTATGAGAGATGTCAATCTATATTCTAGAAACATTATTTGGTATACCTACCCCAAAAACAATGAAATTTCAACGAAATGGAAGATGCTCTATTTTATTACAGATTCGCATAATTGCTTAAAAAAACGCTAAACCCTATGTTAATGATCTACATGTTATAACACCTATAGAACATATAAATTTGTATTTATTTATTTATTCTTTAGACGGTTGCACCATTTTACAAATTTATCTTAAATATTAATAACCCAATGGTAACTTAAACTAGGATATAATAACAAAAAGAAAATTTCAAACTATGAAAAAATTAAAACTTGAACAAAACAAGAATTAATAGCACTATTTATCACATGAAAGACAAAACATAAATTCAAATACTTAAGATATCTTAAAAACCAGATTTTTGACGCATGCATCCCAAATCCTCAACATTTCCAGACATTCTCCACATCAAACAGACCCAACATACGGTTAGATCGGCTAATTTTAAATTGTTCATCCTACATTACTCCACTAGCGAATTAATATCCCTTTGTAACACTTGACATAGTCAATTGATCGTATACAGCGGTAAATTTTCTGATCTGCCTCCAAATGACATCATTCACCAGAAGAACAAACAATTTTGGCCCGAGATGGGACCCCTGAGGCACGCCGGATATTACATCTATGTTGGGAGAGAGGGAACAGCTAACATTAACCTGCTCAGTACGGATCTGGTGATAGCTTGATAGCCACGATAGAAACGCACCTCCAATAACAAATTTTCCAAGTTTGTTCAGTAATACTCCTTGGTCAGGCCCTCTTTTTAACATTCAACGACGACAAGACATCCAACAAACTGTCAAAAGTTAGCTCGATCATATATATCGATCATTGGGCCAGCCAAATCACACTGTATATACCCACCCCTCCACTAAATACTTAATCACTTTTCACACTATTAAAGTTGCTATAAATTGATTGAAAATGTGATGCAGAGTTCTGATATTTCCCTACCTCCCTCAGCGTGCTTATCTCTGACAAAATTCTATCTGACACTCACTGAGAATAATAAGCATTACTAAGCTCTTTAAATTCTCTTCTTAAGACCACAAACTCGGTGTAATAGCAATTGAGATCAGTCTCCCTGTGTGCTACTCTGGCGAAAAAAAAAAAATCTATCAACAATATCATTTAAATTCTTAAATTCCTGCTTTTAAATTCCTCTACAACAGAAAACTTACTTAACGAATAACTGGACTAACAACACTTCAAAGCTTAAAAGCTCGTCTCTGCGAGTGTTTTTCTTGTGGGATCTTTATAAATAGAGAAATGTTTAGAATTTCATCTCGCCTTCGAAACCATTGCCCACATTCTATTGTGGTATAATCTTTATGCCATTGGTTCAAGTTCTAGGTCTGCTGTACGAAAGGGCATCCGTTAAGGTTAGAGCTACTAATGGACCACAGGGACAATCCCTCAGTCCGTCACGCTTTAGTAGGTTCCTATTTTATGCCGAACGAACAATTTTTTCTTGGTTGTGCGTGGTATTTATACTTATGCAGAGAATGCCATTTTTTATTCCTCTGGATCAATGATCTTGTCATTATAGCTAAGTCGTCGATTGATCTCCAGGGAAAGCTCGACATTCTCACAATCAGGGCAATTGCAAAATTTTTCTCGGGGAGGGAAAGAGATATAATTTACGGTTTTGGGTTAGAGATGGCAATTTTGCCTGTCTGGAACTGCGACATACCAGACATATCAGTGGAATTCTAATCAGAATCAATCAATAAATTATTTAATCAAAATATTGTCCATGGAGAATCAAAAGCTTCAAAAATTTTTGCAGTCTGATCTAAATATAGCAAAATGCAACTTATACCTTATTTTATAGCACTTTAAAATCAAAAATGCTATAGTTCATTCATTAAATGTCATATCCAAATGCATGCATGGCTATTCAGATTTATTATGAGAGATGTCAATCTATATTCTAGAAACATTATTTGGTATACCTACCCCAAAAACAATGAAATTTCAACGAAATGGAAGATGCTCTATTTTATTACAGATTCGCATAATTGCTTAAAAAAACGCTAAACCCTATGTTAATGATCTACATGTTATAACACCTATAGAACATATAAATTTGTATTTATTTATTTATTCTTTAGACGGTTGCACCATTTTACAAATTTATCTTAAATATTAATAACCCAATGGTAACTTAAACTAGGATATAATAACAAAAAGAAAATTTCAAACTATGAAAAAATTAAAACTTGAACAAAACAAGAATTAATAGCACTATTTATCACATGAAAGACAAAACATAAATTCAAATACTTAAGATATCTTAAAAACCAGATTTTTGACGCATGCATCCCAAATCCTCAACATTTCCAGACATTCTCCACATCAAACAGACCCAACATACGGTTAGATCGGCTAATTTTAAATTGTTCATCCTACATTACTCCACTAGCGAATTAATATCCCTTTGTAACACTTGACATAGTCAATTGATCGTATACAGCGGTAAATTTTCTGATCTGCCTCCAAATGACATCATTCACCAGAAGAACAAACAATTTTGGCCCGAGATGGGACCCCTGAGGCACGCCGGATATTACATCTATGTTGGGAGAGAGGGAACAGCTAACATTAACCTGCTCAGTACGGATCTGGTGATAGCTTGATAGCCACGATAGAAACGCACCTCCAATAACAAATTTTCCAAGTTTGTTCAGTAATACTCCTTGGTCAGGCCCTCTTTTTAACATTCAACGACGACAAGACATCCAACAAACTGTCAAAAGTTAGCTCGATCATATATATCGATCATTGGGCCAGCCAAATCACACTGTATATACCCACCCCTCCACTAAATACTTAATCACTTTTCACACTATTAAAGTTGCTATAAATTGATTGAAAATGTGATGCAGAGTTCTGATATTTCCCTACCTCCCTCAGCGTGCTTATCTCTGACAAAATTCTATCTGACACTCACTGAGAATAATAAGCATTACTAAGCTCTTTAAATTCTCTTCTTAAGACCACAAACTCGGTGTAATAGCAATTGAGATCAGTCTCCCTGTGTGCTACTCTGGCGAAAAAAAAAAAATCTATCAACAATATCATTTAAATTCTTAAATTCCTGCTTTTAAATTCCTCTACAACAGAAAACTTACTTAACGAATAACTGGACTAACAACACTTCAAAGCTTAAAAGCTCGTCTCTGCGAGTGTTTTTCTTGTGGGATCTTTATAAATAGAGAAATGTTTAGAATTTCATCTCGCCTTCGAAACCATTGCCCACATTCTATTGTGGTATAATCTTTATGCCATTGGTTCAAGTTCTAGGTCTGCTGTACGAAAGGGCATCCGTTAAGGTTAGAGCTACTAATGGACCACAGGGACAATCCCTCAGTCCGTCACGCTTTAGTAGGTTCCTATTTTATGCCGAACGAACAATTTTTTCTTGGTTGTGCGTGGTATTTATACTTATGCAGAGAATGCCATTTTTTATTCCTCTGGATCAATGATCTTGTCATTATAGCTAAGTCGTCGATTGATCTCCAGGGAAAGCTCGACATTCTCACAATCAGGGCAATTGCAAAATTTTTCTCGGGGAGGGAAAGAGATATAATTTACGGTTTTGGGTTAGAGATGGCAATTTTGCCTGTCTGGAACTGCGACATACCAGACATATCAGTGGAATTCTAATCAGAATCAATCAATAAATTATTTAATCAAAATATTGTCCATGGAGAATCAAAAGCTTCAAAAATTTTTGCAGTCTGATCTAAATATAGCAAAATGCAACTTATACCTTATTTTATAGCACTTTAAAATCAAAAATGCTATAGCCCTTTGATTTTGTAAATTTTAAATGTCAGTTTTCAATAATCAGACTCCTATCTCAAATTCGCACAACTAATAAATCTATATAGGAAATATCTTATATCTGATAAGTTCGTCACTCTTTTAAGCAACTTAGTGGTTGCAAAGGCAAGGGAGACACATAGAAGAGTTGGTGCAATTCTTAAGCTGCATTTCTTCGCAACGATGAGACAAGCTTCTAGGCGATGGCTAGGAGCTCCACTCTCTTTTCTTGCACTTTTTAAAACGGGAGTACTAATTTTTCAAAGAAACTTCCACAGCCTACTACTGTAATACTTTTTACAAAACTTCTAGATTCCTCCTGCGTCGGTTTGGACTGAGTCGAACTTATTAACGTTTCGCAAATCATCCTGTTGTCTCCTTCAGAGCTTGACTGAAACTGGCTCGTATTTTACTTTCTACCTGCTTATATATTGTTTAAGGGGGGCGGAGCTAAATGAGGGGCATAAACACAGTCTCGGATAACTGATTGCCTTATTGGTGACAGGTAGAGACCTGAGTCGCGGTTAAGATTGTTAGGTTGTTAGATAGATTTCGATAGACTCTCCAATTTTTCGTAAGTAGAAGAATTGATTACATGCAAGAATTTTAGTTTTGTCGAATAAGATTTTATGTCCGGTTTCGTGATTGTGTTCGGCAACTCCTGATCAGTTTATTTGTCTTAGTCTTAAAGCTCTTTCATGTTCTTCGGTCTCTCCAATGTATTCTCCTCCAATGTAAACTCCTGGCATCTTAAATGGAATTTTGTCTTTGACAAATCGAAGTGGTAAATCTGGCTTTGACTTTATATTTCTTTAGAAATTTTGATATCTGGTCAAAGATGTTTTGAAAGTAAAGAAGGACCACAGTGGCAAGTATTTTTTATTTTTCTGATTTTGTTCACACGTACTTTTCTTAAACAATAAAATGAATTGAATTCAATTGGGTCTTGTTTTTTTTTTTAGTAGCCACCTTACTTGGAGAGATATTCAGCATCTAACAGTGCTAACGTCGAAAAGAAATTCATTATTCGATGCCAAGGGCCGGTTTCACTGGACAATGAACGGAGTTGGTTTAGAATTTAACCATTTGTTCGGTTTCGGCGTCTTAGACGCGGGAGCTATGGTCGCATTGGCAAAACAGTGGAAAACGGTACCGCCACGGTACCATTGCGAAGCTGGAAATATTTCGAAAATGGAGTAAGTGTTGCATCGAATCGAACTATGTTCGCTGTTTCTCATTCAACCGTACAAGGTTCTGTAGTTAATATTTCGTTTTTGACACCTTCGCATTGAAAATTACGCGAAAATTATAAATTCACTTTTCCGATATTGCTAGATTCCTTTTCACGAACAAATTTATAAAACATTACAATATTAGTCTACAATGCCATTAGAAAAATGTGTTTTTAGTAAAATCATACTGCCAGCAGTTCATTTTTTTAAATAAATATTTAAAACCTTTTTTTAGGAAAATTTCGTCCAAAAATTCGCTGAAATTAAAAATAACGACAAACGCATGTAAAGGCGAGAACACGGAAGTTCGATATTTAGAGCATGTCCAAGCCGTAGTTTCGGTGAATGCTACACGACGTGGAGATTTGGAATTGTTTTTAACTTCGCCCATGGGAACAAGGTAACTTTACCAGTTTGTTTTTAATGTAATTTATGGAGTGCTACGTGAAATGACGTAGACTTTTCACTTACTTTATGGTTAAAATCTTTAAACACAATACGATATACCGGGTGTCCCAGTACGAGCATCGAGGTAGGGTATTATGGAAACGGACGGCCCTAGAAATTTCAAAAAAAATTGAGTAAATCGGCCAAGACAAAATGCTGGGGGAATTATTTTCGAGTTTCTGAAATGCCCATCTTGAATTTTGTATCTCGGTTTCTACAAAAAAATCTATTGTTAACCATAGTTAAACTGTGTTATTTGAATTTGAATTGATTTTTTTTTCTTATTTGCTATCCCGATAAGGAAAGTGGTGGAGTGTACGAACATTTTCGTAAATAAATGTCCATACCTTCAAAAAGAGCTGTTCCTAGGCTATCAATAGTACTGTGAGCGCGTCTCGTTGCGATTGCTTACGTTAACAGCAAAAAATATTTTGATTATTTTATGTCATTAAATCAAATAAGAATCCAGCACCCCAGTGAAAACCGGATTTCAATATTTTACCCTAACGTAAAATATGAATCAGATAAATTAAAGCTCAAAGAAAGTTCGATTTTGAGAAAAATTTCCACTTTACGAGTTATTGTTAATGCCAATTTATTACTTAGGATTGCCAAATAATATTTAAAATCAAAATAAAATTTTATTATTTGGATTTATTTCTTGTTTGCAATACCTTCGAAGGGCACCAAATTACCCCGTAGCTCACATTTCTACATTTTGACATGCTCAGATGTTTTAAAATATTTACTATTATCACTTACTCTTTCATCAACAATTATTAAGCTTAATCTCTAATTCACTAATTTTTTTGCGATTATGGATCATATATGAGAAAACGCCGGTGGCAAAGTAACAATTACGTCACATATAACACCTTTGACAACCTAGGAAAAGTTATTTTAACGACACCAAGTTTATTATAATACGTATTTGGATATATGGACATTTATTTAAGAAAATGTTCGAACTTCACTTTCCTCGGAGAGATAGAGCAAACAGCATTAAACAAAAAAGATTTGAATTTGTCTCAGCTTTAAACTTTTCCTGTGACTAACGTTAGAAATTTTTTGTAGAAACCGATTTACAAAATTCAAGACAACAATTACGTGCCCTGATGGCCATTTCAGAAACTGGAAAATAATTCGCCCAGCATTTTGTCTTGCCTAATTTATTTATTTTTTTTTTCAAATTTTTAGGATCGTTTCCTATCGATCCGTTTAACCTTGGTGCCCCTACTGGTATATGTATACAGGGTGGTCCGTGATGAATGCGCGTAAAAGCAGTTCTCATTAATGAGATATAAGTTTGATTCTCGAAATTGTTATCTCTATGGCTCAAGCAGTTTTTGAAATATCAACACAAAAACTTGGATTCTCGGGTTTTTCGAGATGGATTCTGTTAGATAATGTGTAGAGGTCGCTAGTTACGCCCCTCAATCTAAATTTTTCATGTATATTTCGCCCAACGTTCGCCAACCGTTTTTGCGACAAATTCCGGATCCGGATCCATTATTTAATTTTGCTAAATTTTTATGAAGGTATAACCTCAGGCCTACCTCGCTCTTCGAAACCCTCAATAAACAGATTCGCGATTCCACAATGTCGTTCTAAAACCATACTTCAGTACTTCGTGCATACAAATGCTGAAAGCTGACGGATTTGTGTAGAATTTCATCGGTGAGATTCCGCGATTATTAGTAGTCCATGCAGTGAAAAATCCATTACTTTAAAATGTTTATAACAAATATAAATGAAGGAATAAATTTAAGTATTAAACAATGTTAGAATATTTATTAAAAAAAAGTAATTATACATTAAAATAATAACTATCGTCACTGAACTCCACATTAATATTTAATAATTAATTTTTTGGCACTAGTCGATTTCTGTTAACATTTTCTTGGTCGATGACATGTTCTACACATTTTTTCCAACTAGAAGCAAATATTTTTTCTACTTCACTTCTAATTAATTTTATTACCCCAGAACTAAATTTCGGCGAGATGTTGTCCCTTCTTAAACTGAGTTTCTATATCAGTTCTATCGGATTAAAATTGCAGTGATATGGTGAAAGACGGACAACTTTGAATCGCCGCTCCATGGTCAAGTTGTCCACATTATACCTCTTATCAAAGGTTCCCGTCTCAACAACTTATAAGTGCTTATTTGCAACTTGTTGCAAAGCAAAAAATTTTGAATGACTTCTTTAGTCGATGATGAATTCGTTTATTTTTCCGCTTGTGCAGAATGGTGGCTGACGTCCGTCTCAAAAATACTGTTTGGTGGAATATTGGGAAGCAATTTTTCAGAAAACCATTTTTCAAAGATGTCGGCTGTCATGTTTTCGTGGTAGTCAACGTTTGATTCTCTGACATCTTTTGCAGAATGCAACAAAGCGTTATCTACCATACTAGCTTCATAGCTCACATATAGTATGATAATTCCTTTGCCCAGCAAAACTGGCACACCCAACGAACATTTCCTGCTGTTGCCATCAGTCCATCCTTTCTTGACGGTATCGTGGCTAACAAACCAGGTCTCATCTAAATATATGATGTTGACATTTTTAGCATGAATTGGTTTTATAATAAAAACCAATTCTTAGTACGAACGCACGCAAAGTCTCTTGGCGGCAGTCAATGTTCTAGACACTACGCAACTCTTCATGTAAAGTTTTAATTGTTAAAACAATAGTCTTCTGATACGCAAGTAATGTTTTTGGGACCCCACGATCTTTCCGCATTTTTCTTTCTTGGACACCATTCACAACTATGTCATACGGTGTTAACTTTATGGCACCACTGTTTTCAGATGAGGATTTCAGAAACAGAAACACATTTAAAATTATAGTCACGTCATCGACCACAATCTTAACCTCTTCGGCGCTTTACATCGCAAGTGACTAACAAAATTCAATAATATAAAGTTACTATTTGGTAAGAAATAAATTGTAATAAAATGTATATGATACCTCAATAAAAATGGCACACTGGGTCATGAAAAACAATTGAAAAACAGTAAGTTGGTAATTTCTAATTAGAAACACAAGACGGAATAAAAATAACTCCAAAGCTTCGACGGCTAAGAAAAAACTGACAGGATACTGCGATTTCACCAACCCCCACAAATCAACCAATAGGAAACTGCAAAAACAACCATTATAGATCCTTTAAATTGGAAATCAGTTTGAGCTTTCTAATGTGTTTTTTTTAATATAACCAACCAACCTAATGAGACTGTTTTAGCAAGATTTATAAAAAGCAAGCTAATTTGAATTAATATAACAGTTTAATCAAAGAAAATGTCCCTATTCTTAAAATACAACAGTCCGCACGACACAGTTCTTGTTGGGTAACATCTTAAATACGGCCCTGGCTTGTGGTGCCGTGCTGAAAAGAATGACCCCTTCCGCTTTACAAAAGGTGGGTCTTAAGGTGGCTTCCCACGGCCCGTGTTTTTGCAGGCCCGGACGCGCCGGCTCGCGCCAACGTAACGGTAGACGGTCGCGTGAGGTGGCGAGAGGAGGTGCGACGATCCGCAGCGAGTCGGTAAATTCAAAGGCGCGAACCGGCACGGCGCGTTCATGCCTATGCAGACCTGTTGTTATTGGGGTAGACAGACATCTTCATTGTTTTTGCGGCTCTACAAATTGTTTTGGTGTTTTTAAGCGTTAATATGGAGTGGACGAACGAAATTACTTACACATTTATTCATTTATATGAAAATGAACCCGCGTTATGGAATACAAAAAGTGACCGTCATAAAAACCAAAACGAGCCGCACGATTCGCGGAGTCGTATTCAAGATAAATTAAAAGACAGTATTGGTGGCGTTACGGTTATGTATGACAGCGGCTGCGGCAACAGTTTTTTCTTCTTCCTACATTACTGATAATCATCAAAAACAAGTTGTTAGCAATCACTAACCCCGAACACCAGTAAACACAAAAATATGTAGACAGCTGATTTGTTTTGAAAAGGTACTTGGGCACAAACGCGCCGGGCCGTAGGATGAGTTCCGCCTGAAGCCCGTTCCGATCTAAGCGCTGCCCGGCCTGTAAAATTACGGGCCGTGGGAAGCCACCTTTAATCTCATTCCAAAGTGAAAACCACATATGGTTGTAAAAATATGTAAAACTTGCCTGTTAGTACCGTTATCTTACTTTTTTTTTTCAAGATTATGATGGAGCGATGATTTCTAAGTAAAAAATGTGCCACTAAAAACTAGTCGCAATTTCAATGAGTTTGATGATATTTTTTGTGAATTGTAGGTTGATTCTTCGACAACAATGCCATGTTACAAACTTTCATTCCGAATTTATAACCTTTCGGTCCTATGCGACCTACCTAAAAATAAAATAATCTAAAATTACGTGTAATAAGCTATCGAAATGTAATAATAATAATGTAAAACTATAATTAATTATTGAAAGAAAATTTTAAAAAAAGATTTACATAAAACTTCGTTTTTTATAGATCAATGATTCTTAGTCGCAGACAAAACGACGACGACTCTAGAGACGGATTTTCCAAATGGCCTTTTATGACCACTCACACTTGGGGCGAATATCCTCAAGGCACGTGGCAATTAGAGGTAATACTGCAATTCATTGTATGATAAAATGAAACGAAAACTGGCCTCATTTTTTCGCTTCAATTTTGATAAACAGAGGTAGTGTTTCACCACTGCATGTTACGATAAAAGAAGAAAGCAGTAAATGTGTTGTTTACCGAAATCTTTGGTGCTGGCAAATAAGACAAAAGACTGAAATTTGCGTTTTTTTTTGTGTTCACCAGTAATTTTAAAATTTGTAATTATTTAATTTTGTCCATTGGTGAAGTCAAAAATTCCTGAATTCAATAGAAATTATAATTTCAGATAAAGTTTAGTTCCGAAAGTCCACAGACAGGATTTTTCAAAGAGTGGTCGCTGATGTTGCATGGAACTAAAGAACCACCTTATACAGAGCTTCCAGTGCTAGATCCACATTCCAAGCTAGCCATAGTGAAAAAGGCTCACGAAGTCAGAAGCAAAATGTAGACCAACACGCCCACATTTTTTGTAGTTCCGTTTATCGAGTTATTTTTTTTTGCCATTTAAAACAAATTTTACTGCGATCATTTTACTGTAGGGCAAAATGGCCGGCGGTAATATGTGCAAATTTGACGGGAATGTCATTAGTCTGTGCTAAACGTTTTACAAATATTTTCCTTTTAATTTTTTAATACAAGAAACGTTATGCATAAAAAATAGCGTGAAAATTATTCCTCAAAAATAAATGTAATTAAAGCCGAAATTAGAATCAGTATAGAAAGAAGCAAAATGAATCTACCAAATATATTTATATATAGGTTTTTGACATGCACCCATACATAGAAAACAAAATCCTCACTATTGATGAATGACTTAACAACGCCACTTTGCTATTAGAATATCAACACCGCCAGTGATCTCTATCTAAACAATATACAACAATGGAATAAAATAATCAATGAAAACTTACAGTCTTACTATAAAGGCACACGGAGTACCAATGGGTAAAAGATTGCCACTTTACTATAGCCATGGCATAATGGTAAACACATATGTTGGTCCCTTCTGTGGTGGCATTTAGAAATGAATTTATAATCTCAAACTGACAGAATATTAATCAACCCTCTGTTCGAGGTGCCTTTATAGATGGAACACTAAAACCACTCAGTATGATACTAAAAACCAGATTGGCTATTGAAATTTTAATCAATTAAAAAATATATCGATCATTCCTTGACATATTTCATAATATAATCCTAACATTTAAAAACATGTAGTTGTACCATTACCTCTAACATCAAACTATAAAAAATTACTGTAGTTCAGCAATTTTGCTAGGTTAATAATTGTTCAAAAAAAAAGTTAATTGGTATTGCCAGATCAGAATATTTATTTAATGGATCAAAAACAAAGATCAATCTTTTTAAAATACTTCTAAATCTTCCATTAACCAAAACATATTAATGACATTAATATAGCAGTGTTTTGTGGTATTCCTTTTTTAATTTTCCAAAATTTAAAATACCTATCATTTTAATTATTTATATAATTTATAGAAGATTGTTAGAAAATAGTAAAAATAAAAATATATATTTTGATAGCAGAGGATCAAATGTTGACCTGTATTAATATTAATTAATTAATGGAAAAAAACTCTAACCATAATAACGCGTAGTAAATTCAAATTTCCAAAGAAAAAGGAAACAATTTAACTGAGTCAATGGGCACCTTACGGAAAAGATAACTTTTGCTTAAACTTGCATAAATTAATATTAGTAAAATAATTTGCTTAAACATAATATATTTTTTTTTAATGGTTGATAACTATTTGCATACAAAGTCCTCTATTTCGTAAGTTGCCCACATGTTAGTGAGCAACTATCACTTATAAGTTGCTTCTATTCATTTATATATTAGCAATGTTATTAGACTACAGAAGATAAAAAAAATGACCAGTTTTATATAAATGTACAATTTATTTGCTGATAATAAATCATTGTAAATAAAACTATTCCCTTGACACAAATGTATATTATAAATAAAAATATATACAAAAATGAAAAAGCCTTCATTTTGAAACTATAGGAATACTTTTTACTTTGAATATTCTCACAAGGAAACTCAAATAAAAACCTTATGTTTCTGATGGTTTATGTTGTTTTTTTCCAAATAATGAATTATATAACTCAGTTTTAGCTTCATCTGTCCAAGATATAGAATTATCTACAGGTGCCATAAAATTGACTAATTTGGTATGTACCGTATAACGAATTTTCCTACCTTTAGTAGCTCTAGTATCAATTTTTCTTTTCACCTTACTCCTCAAATTTTGTAGGTGTGTCCATTGCCTTCCTAATTGAATAGGGTCTGTAATATCAGCTGCTTTCACTTCTATTAGCTCTCTAAGTAATTGATGATAGAAATCTGTATCATCAAAAATTTCTACATCATAATCATCTATTTCTGTCTGCTCTTGGCTTTCTGAGAAGGATCTGGGGACTTCTTCTTTATCTGCTTTTCCTAATACCTGATATTCACCTCTTTTTAACTGTGTTCTTTTAATTAATTTATTTTTGTCTGTAAAGGCGTGTTCTATTTGATTAATCACTGAAGGAGCTTGACCTTTGTTCTTAGTAATGGACAACTTAGTTTTCGCATTCCACTTTTCAATAACAGTATTCCGATACTCATTATAATTTGAATGAAAGTCACTTATTGCTCTTTCATATTCATTCAACTTCCTTTTTTTGCTTGGGGATATGTCTGTTTCATCTTCACTGCTACTTTCATCACTTCTACTCATTTCATCAGTATCACTTGGAATTTCCTCATCATTTTCATTGCTTACTGCTGTATGCTTGCAAAGTCTTTTAGTTTCAGGATAACTTTTTACCATAATTTTCTGCAATAGCAACAATTTGTCCATGACACCAAAAAGAGCTTGCTTTGTTTCGTTTACATTATCAGTAAATTCAATTCCAGAATCATTCTTAATATTTGTAAAATATACCTTATTTGGCATTTTGTTCGCTGTAAGCAAACACTTTTGCAATTTAATTCGAATTTCAACCAAATTTTCCCAGATTCTCAGTTGATTTCTAACAGACAATCCTTTTTGCACTTGCAAAGATGCATCTATATCGCTTAAATGTTTAAAACTATTATCATTTTTTATATCAGACTCAATTTCAGAGTTCTCATTACAAGAACTATCTGTATCTTCATCTGGTCCCTTACAACTGGATGTTGACTCCAATTCATCTTCCGAGACTGATGAGGCATCACTGGTGATAATTTGGTATTGGTCCTGTGTATCTTCATTATTTTCTTCAACAATTTTATCTTCAGCTTCTGAAGCTGAAAATATAAATAAAAACATTTTAAAAAGAGGAAAAATGCCAATCTACAAAATGTTGCATGCAGTCTATTCTTTTTTAAATTGAGGAATAACAGGAAACAAAAACAAATTATTGTTGATGCAATTATCAAAAAAACTTTGAGATGACAAAATCTAATAATAATAATATTAAAGACACAAATATCTCAAATACCAAAACCTATACCAAGCATTTAGTTATTATAGATGGATTTGATACTTTGGAAGTTTGTTGTTAAAATTTTCATTAGTATACTCATTGCCAACAGTATTAACTTACCTTGGTCATCGGAATCTGACCCGTGGAACCTTCGTCTACTGCCTTTTTCCCCAGCATACCTGTTATCTACATCAGACAAAATCTAATAATAATAATATTAAAGACACAAATATCTCAAATACCAAAACCTATACCAAGCATTTAGTTATTATAGATGGATTTGATACTTTGGAAGTTTGTTGTTAAAATTTTCATTAGTATACTCATTGCCAACAGTATTAACTTACCTTGGTCATCGGAATCTGACCCGTGGAACCTTCGTCTACTGCCTTTTTCCCCAGCATACCTGTTATCTACATCAGCCAGTAAATCGATATTTTGTTTACGAAAATTGTTGAGCAATGCATCTTCATCACCGCTGTGTTCATCTTCTGAGTTTACAAGTTTTGCAGCTGAACCGTCAGGATCATCTTCCGGATCAAATGTTGCTGGCGCAGTATTTAATACACTGAAAATTTTTTCTGCCAAAGTTTCTTTTTGCCTCTTTTTAGCCATTGCAAAATCTAACGTCTACCGTGAAACAAAATAATTTTTTCTCTAATTTTAAATCGAGCAGCAATAGATTATATTCACTTTGACTAACATTTGCTCTAATATTTTAGTTAGGTAAAAATGATAAATATGAAATGGAAATTTTCTTCTTCTTCTTTTCTTTCAATGAGCTAGTGTCACAAAATATAACTGTACATTGAATATTCGAGACTGCGCTCATTTGGGAAATTGGGATTATTAAAATATATCAAGCATAAACCATAAACATTTACAAATTTAGCTATTTCCATATCTAGATCAATCACTAATATTTTAACATTAATGTGTACTACACAGTAAACATGTCAGGGTGACGTCCCTTCTATAATAAGAAATGAAACTTCTTTCGACAAACATGAGTGACGTCGCTTCTCATGCTACCCGATGGCAGAAAAAAATCGCGTAAGGCACCTGAAATGTCAACTGAGAGAGAAGCGCTTTAGAAACAAAACAGTTTTCTCTTGCTCGCCATTATGACATAATAAATATTAACAATGACAAAACATTGCTTCTATCGTAGAGTGTTAGTCCCGCAGGCGAGAATTTTGGATCATATGTCATGTTGTTTCCACACCGTTAACGCATGGAATAGAAAATAATTGTGGGATGGCATAGATGCGGTTTCTTGAATTAACTAAAGATGGCAGTTGTTACTTCCGTTAATGTTTGATCTATAATTTAAAATTTAAAAAGCATTTCCAGTGCAATGGAAACGTTAACAAAGCCTCAAATAATTTGCCACGATCAAAAATCTTTAAACTATTCAATTCACGATGTAAAGTGGATACCATGTTCAGCCAAATTTGTATCCATAGGTGGAAAATCTAATGGAGCAGGTATCATTGAAATTTACAGACTGACTGGCGACGGAATCGAAAAAGTTGACGAATTTTGCAAGAAAGAACACTTCAAGTGCTGTACTTTTGATGCGTCTAATTTGAGAGATAGACATTTGGCCACCGGTGATTTTTCTGGGCGATTACAAATATGGTAAGTATACTCACTAAACAAAAATGAAATAGACAAACGAGTAGCTTGCAGGGTAAGCAGGTAATCGATAATCATTACAAAAATTGTCGATCTATGAATCAAAGCAATTGGGATCTGAAAGATTTATTTTCCCAAATTATTTTTTTAAACTATTTTGATTTTAAATATACAATATATATATTTAACAATTATTATATTAAATCCAAAACTACTTATCAAACTGACATATAAGAAAGTCGCGATATTTTGATTATATAGTAGTACTGCTGTATTTGATTTAAATCCTTATATTTCTTTTCCAAAAGGAATTTGGAAGACACGCTGGTGCCGGTGTACAAATCTGCCGCGCATTCTGCTGTAATAAATGCCATCGACGGTATTGCTGGAAAGAGTACAAATTGTGGAGCCCCTGAAATTGCCACTGGATCGAGAGATGGTAAATGCTAGTTCCCATTAAAATACATCTTCAACATGTTTTAAACCTAGGTTGTGTAATGGTTTGGGATACGAGACAAAAAGATGTACCAGTAGCCAAATTTGTTCCAATCGAAGGGAGTACTGGTCGTGACTGCTGGTGTGTGGCTTTCGGTGATAGTTACAACAATGATGAACGTGTTTTAGCGTCGGGTTATGACAACGGGGACATTAAGTTATATGATCTACGAACAATGTCCACAAGATGGTCAAAGAATGTAAAAAATGGAGTTAAGGCTTCTATCAAAATCACATTTTCAATATTAACTTGCTGCATTCAGGTTGTAAGCATCCAGTTCGATAGGAAGGACATCCCGATGAATAAATTGGTGGCTACTACTTTGGAATCAAAAATATTTTGTTTCGACGTGCGTACCCAACACCCAAAGAAAGGATTCGCCCAGGTGGCTGAGAATGCTCACAAATCCACTGTTTGGCAAGTTAAACACTTACCACAAAACCGAGAAATATTTATGACAACTGGTGGTTCTGGAACCTTATGTCTCTGGAAGTAGTAAGCAAAATTTTTTATGAAAATCATTATTTGTGTCGCCATAATTTTTTTTATCCTAATCGTTTATCAGACATTTTGATTTTCAGTAATTATCCAATGAAAAGGGTTGCCACTAACTCAGATGGAATACCCTATGGAGTAGCAGGTGAACTCCAGCAACTCCAAAATAGTGTTCTTTCAGATCAGCCGATTACATCATTTGACTGGTGTGAGGATAAATTAGGTCTTTCAGTTTGTTCAGCGTATGATCAAACTTTAAGAGTTCTTTTAACTACTAAACTAAATCTGTATTAATTTTTTTTTGCATTCCAATTTTGTTACAGCTTTGGTGGAATAAATATGTTGATAGTTGTTTTATATCATTTGTAACTTGTCCTATGGGGTTTATATTATTTCAAGGATTTAAATTTTATATGTACAGGGTTTCTAGGAAAAGGTTTGTAAACAAATTTGTTCTACAGACCTTCTTGCATTTTTCCTCAGGCTGCTGGGAGGACTTGAATATTCTTTTTAACTGAAAACTGAAAACAACTACCAAAAAATATTTTTTACTCTCTCTGTTGAGGATATAATAGAATAGATGTCTCATACTTAGCTCCTACCTAGCTATTAGATAATATAGTGGCCCTACTACAAATTTTACTATTACAGTACAGAAACAGTTACAAATACCACACAGTCACAATTCCAGTCTCGAATGGAATACAAGTTTCTTTTTTTCAAGAACACTACAAATAGAATTTAAAATATCCAAAAATTTAACACAGCCATTGTTCAAACCTTGTTTATCTACTTCAAGTATCTATATGATGTCTTTGATCCAATGGTCTCAATGTATATGTGAGAACGTAATTTCCGGATTCGTCTCTTACGCTGGTAGTTTGGATGGTCATGGTTTTCTGCTATAAATTCAATATCTTGTTTGGATCAGTGAATCTTGCAGTCAAAATATAAAACAGTGCAGGCACAGGAACTAATAAAACCATCAAGCTGTGCACCAGGGGCTCTGTCAACTGAGTTATAGAGATTATTCCATAGGCATGAAGACACCAGTGCCCTAGCAAAACCACAATATTCCTTGGTTGCATTACTGTTGTTCTAATAAGCGCAGACATACTTTGGTCCATTTTTACAGCAAAATGAACTGCAGATGATATTACTGACACTACCACTAACAGATAGGGAAAAGCATAATCTAAAACAAAGTATACTGTCAATATGTCAATAAACAAACACATCATATGGTAAGTGTGGTATATAGTAAGTACTATTCTAACTCTAGGGAAGAAAAAAATTAGAATTGTAGAATCAAAGTAAAAACATAATTGTGACAAAAATGTAGTGCAAGATGTCCCAAACTTGATTTGCAATTTTCCACTTTGGCTATTACCTTGGTAAAGATTATACAAAACCCCTGACTAATGCTGATGTTAAGTATAACTCGTACCTTTTCAATTTTGCATGATAATTTAAGCTAATGTTTAAATTATGAGGGCCCTGCTTAAAAGGAACTACTATAGATTGGTAAAAAAAAGCATTTGTTAGTTTAAATTCTGGTACCCATAGGTGATGGACTGGCTGGGTCAGGTAGCTTTAAAGTAAAAAAGACTAGAACCTTGAACTCATCAAAAAATATCAACCTGTGATTACAATAAAGCCTTGCAAAAACCAATTAACCAGTTAAACCATGATTCAATTTAAAGTTAACTTAAACCTGGCTCACTTAAATTGCTTTTGAAGGCCTCATTACTCTAAAAGAATAATACCCAAATTCACTTACATATTAATCCTCCAACAGTAGCATGTGCTAATACTAAAATAGGGATAAAATACATTGCTGCATATATGGCCATTTTACCTTGTCTTGGTAAATATTTCCTTGAAACCCATGGTCGTATCAAAAGCATTGATATCAATGAGAGAATATAAAATAGGAATATAATAGAATACCTAAAAAAGAAAAGCATATTGGATGTTTTGATTATTTGATAAGGCTGTACCACACTCACAGTGGAAAAACAGCTTCCTGTGTGCAATAAATTTTTTGATCATAATTTGGGGTAGGATTATAAAACAGAGTATACCAGTCTGACACTGTTCGAACTGGACAGCTATAAACTGTAAAATGGCCTGCAGGATTTGTGAATAACAATGTTAAAGTACAGGAGATCAAGACTTCAAAAAATGCTGTTAAGTGAAGGACAATTACATTTTTACAAAAACTACAAAAAAAAGGAAAAATCAAGTTAATTTCGACACATAACAACTAACTACCTTCTCCTCATAGAAACCATATCGATAAAAAACCAGTGCAAAATCAAGACTACTAATCCCATAAAACCAAGGAAAAGCCAATCATAGAATTTTGGACTATCCAAACAAGGTTCGCAAATAAAAGTGGTATCATTTCTTCTATAACCTCTAGGACAGGATCCGCAATCACTTAGTTCACCATTTTCTAAATATGTTTTTCCACAATACCAACCCGGGCAAGACATTGATAAATATTTGTTGACCTTATTTTCTAAATATTTGGTTATCTGTCAAATTTTAACTGACAATCGTTATAAGTAGAGTCTTTTCGGGATCTCATTGAAGGCGGATTGGTTAATAATTCTGTTATTGTACTATGATTGGCTCCGTGGCTGAGAAATCAAATGAACAGTTGAACTTTTTTTTAAAACATCCAACATTTTTTTATGTCTACCCAAAATTATCTCACTCAAATTAAACGCAACAATAAATTAAGTAGTAATATTGAATACAATTTAACTTTTTAGTGGAAAAGGTGTTACTTATGATATCATTTGACTAGCTCGTACCCCCCCATCTATTTTCAGCCCTAGGTACTTACGGCATCGGTGTCACTCGGTGTGCAAAAATTAATAGTTAAAAAAATCGGTTTTTGATCTAAAACGGAGTTTCGGGAGCCAATATTCGTTTCAATCAATACGTTTGATAAGTGATGAATGTGTAGGTCGAAGTGCTGGATAAACAGATCGAGAGATAAAGTGCATTTTCCGGGGAATTAACCAGCTGATGGCGGGTGGACTCGTTTGGCAGTCTAGTGATCTTAACAGTATACAATCGTTGAAGAGACTTTATTAATTTATTTCGTATCGCGGAATCTAATTTTAGTGCCGGAATCAGATTTTTTGCGCCGTGATATCGAAAAAAAAACATTGAAGTGGTGGTCATTTGGGCGTGCACACCTCTATTGTCATTGATATTTCGCGACCATTCATAAACTTAAAGCGGACTATAAATACAAATGATGCGTTTAAAAAATCGTGAAATTTTATGACAAATTTTATAGTGGTGAAATGCCGTTTACAACCCCCGCGTAAAAAGTGTGTTGTTTGTCATTTTAGTCGCGGAAGAAGACCTCGAGAACGATGTCGACAACGGCATTCGTCGACAGGATCGATCCTTTTGCAAAAAGGTCGCTGAAAAAGAAAACCAAAAAGTCACAAGGAAGTTCCAGGTATAGAAACTCTCAGGATGTGGAATTACAACCTTTACCCTTCTTGAAAGGTAAGATCCGTATGGTGTAATATGTAATAAACGTCATAATGTACTCGACATAATTCCCAATTTGAATATTTGCGGCATTCGAATTCAGTGTTTTAAATTCACTAAATTTGGTTAAAAACAATCCAGGAAATGCTGATCGAAGGCATTGTAATTAATAATTTGACCCACATTTACGCTATTTACTTGCTGAAAGTGTATGCCAATTGCGACAAATAATGTGTTTTGTTGTAAAACCGACGAATTTTTGAGGTTATCAAACTTATAATGCATTCATATTTGCAGCCAGTATTTTTTGCTTAATGTTTCAATGTTCACATTTGCTACCTTGCAATAGAATAGTCGCAACATAGTATGGCCGGATTTCGGTCCAGATTAAAAAAAATTGCGCCTGTCTTTCAACTTCCATCCAAATATTCATTACAAGTACAGGGAGTTTAGACATAATTTGACAACCTATGCATATACAGGGTGCGTGGGCAGATTTAAATTTCCAATGCTTAATGGGGTAATAGTTATTTATAACTTCAAGACCATTAGATATACCTCCCGGCGTACCTCCCTTTTTTCCCAATCGACCAACCTCCGTTCTTTTTCAGACACTCCGTTTGAGTATTGATGCCATATTTGGTTTTGAATACTAAGGACATTTTGGGGTCCATTAAAACAAAAATTCTATGGTTGTCGTTCATACGCAGTGTATGTTTAACTTCGAAGGAATGACAAAAAAGAATTCCTAGAAACATAGTAAAACGCTCGGCAAAACGTCTCAAAAGGATGAGTACATAAATTTTGTGCTAGCTTTTGTGTATTGGTTAGGGTCTGATGAGGCAAAAATATTGTCTCTTTTTAGATCCCGTTAATTCGTACTTTTGTAGTTTCCGCTTTCGGATGAAAAAAATATTGGTTGTATCTTTACTTTTGCTATTCAGTAATAACTTATAGTACCTGATTATGCACCATGGGAATTTAATGCTATGAAATTGACGGAGGACTACTCGTTAATCAGTTCTAAACAAGGTTCTAAAAGGAAACCACAAGACGTTATATTGATATACACACTTATATTCTTTAATGGGAATGGGACAATCTTATTTTTTATTGATTATTCATCAACAGTTAAAGTTGTTGCCCTTCAACCGAACCTCAGTACAGTAACGTCTTTAAATTGGTGTCGCATGTTCCATTTATTCCATAACGGTCACTTAAGCAAATATGTAACTTTAGAATAACCCAAAAATTAGTTTTTCAAGGAAACAAAATTATATTTATTCAAAAAAAAGAGGACCAAAGCTAATTTTTAATACCCACTTATAGCAATAATTTTTCATAAAATAAATAAAGCAAAATAACTATGTCGCAAGGCCTTACCAAAAAAATGTGTACTCTATTAATACTAATTTTTTGAAAACCATTATTATTATGGTTTTTTCTTTAATTACCAAAATTCCATTACCAAAATCACTCACTAATGAAATTGCCTACTACTTGAAAAATAACTGTTCCCCATAATCATCTACACTAGTTTTGTCTCCACTCAGGTAAAAAAATGCAGGTAACGCTTACCAATTTTGCTAAGAATATTTCACCAATTTTTAATATACTACCTATGGGATATATGTCTTTAATATTGTACAGGTACTTGGCTTACTTTTGCTTAATCGCCCAAAGTACCTGTACAATATTTGGGACATATGTCGAAATTGGGTGACTACTTTAATATGCCTGGTACATAGTGGCGGTTTTAAGCGAACCTAAGTATAAATACAGATTCCTTCGGAAAGTTTGGGAAAAACTTTATATGAAAATTTTGCTACTAGCACGGAGACACATGATTTTTGTTTATTTATAAATGTTACAGAAAATCGACAGATACAATTAATAAGCCCAATAGAATGGAATGTTCTAAATTAAAAAATTAAACATCGTACATATACAAAGTTTTAAAATATAAACGGATATGACATTTTTTGAGAAAAAAAGTTAATATCAAAGCTTGCGCTAAAGTTAATTTTCACAAAAAGTAATTAAAAGATTTTCTCTTATGGTGCCAACTTTCTTTTCATTCTCTCTTTGCATTCCCAATATCTTTATTTTTTCTAGATTTAATTTTTATTCGTTTCTGTTTTTTGTCTAAGTTTTCTAAGCTGTGGGGAATAAGTTCGTCTAGCATTTATAGCAAAATTTTGCCTTATATTTTATGTACAAAATAAAATATCAATTATTAATAACCCTTGAATTATTTACCTCGCTGATAAATGGAAAAAATTTTACTATAACCTAAGAGCAATTTATCCAAAAATTTAACGTGATTCGTCATTTTAAGTAAAGCGTATTCTATCGCAAAAAGTGTGGGAGGATAACTAGTTTACCATATATAATTATTGTTTGTTTTGATTAGTTGGGCTGCAGGTTTCTAGGAAGTTTGTGAATGATTTCTCGGGCTTCCTTTTATGCCATCTTTGGTAATGCATCTCATGGATCATACTGCCTACTTCCTGAAATTTGTATATATTAAAAATTGTATTTTAGTACCTTATTTTTAAAATTTAAGCAATGTAAACTTCACCATTTGTTAGTTTTTTTTTAATGAACTGGATTATATCGCATTGTATGTACCACGGAAAATTGAAAGGGAAATCCATCATAAAAAATCTGCCTTGTTCTGTACACTTAATGAAAAAATAAGACAAATATTGATGCAAGGCGGCTTCGAAGGGGACTTTGCTAACTAGCTTGTATGTTTATTTAAATTAACCCTCGAATTAACCCTGTTAGGCAGGGCGGGGTGTGTATTTAAAACCTCAATATTGTGATATATAATTAATTGAGGGTAATCGATATAAATACTTTTTTATGAATTTAGTTATGACTCTTAAATTGGGTTAAAGTTACAATTTTAAACACTGACTGCAACCACCTCAAGCGTTTCCGGTACTTTGGTCACGGGTTGACAGCGATCGTATGTTGACATCAGTACAATAATAGTCGTGGATGGACAAAGTATACTTCGACTTCTCGTTTATTAAACACTCGCTTCGGCTGTGCTAAACTCGTGACTAAAGTGTCGTTTACAAAAAAAAAATTGCATAAACTGTTACTACGTTTTCACTCAAAAACCAGTGACAGATTTGCGAGTGTAAATGAAATTATACTTATTAAAATCATAAACGGCGTGATTCTGTCTGGGTTATCCTATACATATGTGCCGGGCATGTATCGCACATAAATAATGCCAATAATGTACGATATTATTAGGAAACACTACGCGCTGAATTCGATTACCAATAACTTTATCAGACCTTGAATGTAAAATCGCTCACTAATAAAATTGCCTACTACTTGAAAAATAAGTGTTCTCCATAGCCGTCTACACCAATATCGTGGCCAGTTTATGAATTATATTCTACTAGTTCGATTTGCTAATTGAGGGCTTCATCTGTTTTTGTTTACTTTTTCTACTCCCTATTTTCTAATACACACGTATGTAGTGATCTGGCGTAGACAAAGTATTACTTCAAAATGTCAACTTCATCAAACACTGTCGCGAGCCAATTCGAGCCAACGTTTTGTTCGGTTTGGTTTTGATGTGTTCTGCACCCAAAAATTAATTGTCGTAGGAAAAGTGTAGTAGTGTAACATGTTTATTAAGCACTCGCAGTGCTCATGCCAAATGAAACTCGTGACTGAAATGCCGTTTATTAACTTATTGAATATTTTTTTTATTTTTAACTTCCACTTCGTCAGCTTTGTTAAACACTGGCACGGGCCGCTTCGAGCGTTTCCTATAGTTTAGGCGCGGGTTGGAAGCGATAGATTTAAATCACTGACGGTATTTTGACGTTTGTCACATTTGTGTGATGGTCCCATCACAAATCACTTAGTGAATTTATTCATGCTGTTTTGCCAAAATATACCCAAAAACTAATGGTCGTAATATACTATGTAACACGTTTATATTCTTCAGACACTCGTTCCGCTCGTGCCTAAACAAAACCATAACTAAGGTGGCGTTTATAAAGCTTAATAGTAATATACTATTTTGCGATAATAATTGTCATACACATTCTCTAAGGTTGAAAAGTTCCCTTTATATTTAAATTTGATATGATTGGTGAAGGCCTTCTTTTGTATACTATGATTATACAAACCTACACATTTTGCTTTCTGGAAAGTTAAGAATTCTTTAAATTTTCTTTCCACCCCAATTTAGAAATACTTAAACAATTCGGGTTTTGAATTTTACTTCTCGTTTGTAAAAAAATGTTCGTTCCCCTCTATCTCGCGTTGAATAGAAATCTTTCTTTGTTCTGTTTTATGAAAGGACTCCCCCATAAAACCAGATAATTATTGCTCGCGCGTTCTGCGAGTTTCTGCCCACAAATGGTAACGCTCGTTCCAGTTAATGTTTATTTGAAAACAACATTGATTCAGCGCATACAATTATTCGACATCCAATCTCGCATCGAATTAAAAGTTATGTTTTGTTACAACTCCGGAAATATATTTAATTCTAGTTAAAAAAGATAACAATAATTTCTGTGATAATTGTGGTGTGGTCCATGTTTAACAGAAAGGAGTCCACTGAGAATTCCAAAAATTTAGAGTTACCATACATAAGGTGTATTTGTGGCATAGATCAGTTGGATACATGATTGTATAAATTACGACCGGGCTAAACATTTTCGATATTCAAATGCCGCCTTACAGTCTACAATTAACGCGGCGGCAAATGGACAACCCACTGAAAATTAAACGGCACTTCCTTAACACTTCGCCAGTCTTTAATTAATTTTAAAACCAGATTATAACGAAGGATCGATAACGACACCTTCGGTCGTGGCGAATTTAAAAATATTAGATGGTTATTATTAGGTACCAAATGCTAATAAATGAATTAGAGATTCGACATTTTTTTTGCTTGAACTGAGGTGGCTTTTACTTGATGAAAATCCATTTATCAAAATAAATAAGAACTAAAAGTTCAGATTTTCACGAAATTATATATTATGACATCATAATTGTTTCGACAACACCGTGTCTTTATCAAAAGACATTTGATAAAGACACGGTGTTGTCGAAACAATTATCATGTCAAAATATATAATTTCGTGAAAATCTGAACTGTTTGTTCTTATTTATTTTGATTTTTTTTTGCCTCAGGGGTTGCGTTGTGGAATTGACCGGTCATTTTTTTGGTGTCAAATGACCAATCAATACATCTCACCCGGCGTGGCATAAGCCTAAAAAAAATCTTATTTGCTTGTTATTTTTAATGTTATAGATTTTGCGAAAATTAATCCATTATATTTGAAAATTTTGATTGTGCTTTTCCCATTTACATACGTGCGGGAATATTTGTCAATCTTGTAATTGTTTACATGAACGATATTGATATATGATATATGAATCGTATGAACTATGGTGTTTCCCAAGCATCGAATTCCTCGATTAACGTCATTAAAAGTGGAAACTGTTTTTTGTATGAGATATAACCTTTTTGCAAAACATTTTTAGAATCAGTGACTAAAGAACCAAACGAACCCTTAATTCTTACAAATTTATTGTTTGTTCTTTTGAATTAATTTTCATATTTACAATTTTAATTACATGGTTTGAGAAGGTCAAATACATCGACATTTTCGACATTTTGAAGCCCCATATGAAAATTCATTTGTTATTGTTCGTTTTCTGTTGATCTGAAACTCTACAATTTTTTTGCTTTGTTAGTTTAGATCGGCAGTGATATGTTGAATAGAAGGGACCAAGTAGTGAGTGGTCTACATTCTCAACAACATTACTTATATTTCGTCCTTGCATTTGTAGCATCACCATATACAGTTCAAAGACTTATTGTATTTGAAACACTAAGTTTAGCTTTTAATCCGCAAATGATTTGGGACTGAATAGAAAGAGACCATATCGGTTCTGTATTCAAATTAGTTATACATAGTCATTAATTTACTATAGAGATACTAAGTTAATTTTATAGGCATTATTCTTATTGGTTTATTACATATTTATAATTTCTATATAATAGGTATGTAGCTATTTGGATTTTGCGGCAATTACCCAAGAATAAATTCCCCCTTTGATTTATTATTGAAAGAGTCGAAGTCTGCTTCGAGAATATGAGGTCCGCCGGTCTAATATAGCGCTACCGATCGCAACTTCAATTATATTCCCGTTGCAACATGCGAACCTGGCAGCCGAGCCGTTCGACATACTTTTTTAATTCTCAGTGTTTCTAGACGTCTATAATTTTTTTTGGATGGATTGTGTAGATTCGATAAAGTACCCAAATCAATCAAATTTTTACCGGACATTATTATTAACTGCTTTCATTTCTATATATGCATATGGCAAAATACTTTTATTTCAGAATTACATGTTTAAAGTGTTTCTAAAAGAGACCCCAAATATCACATAAGTTGTGGTTATAGCGCATATCTAGTGAGTCTTGTTTTAACCTAAAATGGGGAGCAAATAAGTTCAAACGCGACCGAAAACAAATGACCAGAGTGGGAATACCGACAATAGATAAGGAGAGGCAATTCAGAATTAACGCTTTATATTTATTTTCGTTTTACCTATTATTACATATACTTTTAGCGATGTTAAATAGAACAGGATATTGATTAGGAACTTTTTCTTTAATACTTATTTATTTATTCCAAAAAAAAAATCGTTGAGAATCACATAGTCATGGATTAGTAAAAATGCATTAACAATTTGCAGCACAATTTTCTAGTAAACCTTTACCTTATTAATCCAGAAATTGGCTATGATATGACCACATCCATTTCACTTCTTATCTAAAATATTTGGATTCCGAGTATATTACTGACAGTTTTTCCAAAAGCACTTTACTCCTAAATTTAATTGTTGTCGAAATTAATGTTTTATCTTTTGAAGCTACCCTAAAACGCGAATGTTCCTTTCATTGGGAAAGCATTGCATAACTTAGGAATTATCCTGTGAACTACTGTTGGCTTTAAGAACACAGCTTCTTTCATTGCATTATACCCCAGTATGGTAGGGAGCATTCTGGAGTATTTGTCAACAATTTAGAGTCCGATGTACCACATTACGTGGATCAAATCGAGAGGGTCCAAATAAATTTCATTAATACTCTTAATTTTCATTTTAGTAGACTATCACTTTTATAATTAGAATTTCCACTATTATCACTCGGATTCACTGAAATCCAGAAAGTAGTGATATTTTCTTTGTTTATAAGTAAAAAACGTTACCGATTCTGGGAACTATATCCTTTTTAAAACTAGCCCGTCTATTGTTGGCAATATACTAATTTTCAGCGTCCCGGCTTTCAAAACCAATTATCTTTTTAACTCTCCTCTTATATGAAAACAAAATTTCTATAGCATTTCACTGAGATTGCTCTTACTTCGCGTTTGTGTAGATGAACGCCATTAAAAAAAAAAAGAATTTTGTAAATATTCTTCCGTTTTCTAATTGTTGAGTAACCTTCTTTTTATAATAAATTAAATAAACAAATAAAGTTTGCATTAGAAAAAATACAGGCATCGACTTGAAAAACAGTTAACTCTATGGGTCAGTGTATTGGTATTATTAATTATTGTTATTAGTAAATCGCATTCTGCACTTGTATTTACAACTAACAATTAACCAGAAATATTATTCGTTAGTTGTTATTTCCCAGTTTTATAATTTTTTAATTAATTTATTCACTGGATGAAGTAATCCCTGGTTTAAACATATCTACCAGTTAAAATAATTTTGTATAAAAAAACTACCTACCTTAATATTATTGAGAAATCAATCGGTTCCTGATTTTCCAGATGTGCCAGCGTCCGAACAGGAGGAACTTTTCATTCGTAAGTTGCGGCAATGTTGCGTCCCGTTCGACTTCATGGATCCGGTTGCGGACCTTAAAGGTAAAGAGGTCAAGAGGTGCTCGCTGAACGAACTTGTGGATTACATTACGGGGGGGCGCGGTGTTCTCACCGAGCCGGTGTACCCAGAAATCATCAAAATGGTGAGCACACGCGAATTTTAATTTTGATAATGATAGAATATCATGAAATTATTGGGCAATTTTAAATCAATTTACACTTGATACAACTGTCCGAAATGTTGTGTAAGTTAAAAATAAAGACAATGGAAGTTCGACATCCTTTTAGTATTTCTAATTTTGAATCATTTTCGGTCTGGAAAAAAGTTACCTGGAAATATTTTTTGTTTTAATATTGCGCCTACATGGAAATTTTGCACAACCATTTCAATTGCACAAGTATCTTGAAGATAGAATGAATTTGTATCTTGCAGATATCTCGCCGTTCACTGTATGGCTAAAATATGCAACAAATGAATTTAAAAATCAAATGCTTGCACACGTCCTTCATCATTTTTTGAAATAAACAGAAAATATACAGAGTGGATCAAAAGTTAGACGCCGATACTAAGTTCTTTTTTTTTAAACACTTATCTCTATCGCCTATGGCCAGGTCGTTCAAAACTAATGAGAACTCAACATTAAAGATTTTATTAGAAGTTTAGGATAATCCCCGTTGTGCGGGCTGAACGAAGACGATTCCGACCGACAGTTTTGTGAAACTGTGGTGGAAATGTGCAACTTAAATACATTTTTTCTTTATCAGATTCTGTTTATTAATTTTAAGTGTTGGAGTACAAATAATCCCCGACAGATGGGAAAACATCATCAATTTTGCGAACACCCACAAAAAATAATTGTTTGGATCTGGATTTTGAGCCCAATAATTACAATTTTTTCAAAACGACTCTCACAGTTTCTCTCCCAAATTCAAATCAGCCTGGTATGCGAGGTAGACAGATTTGGTTTCAACCCTCCAATTTTGCACGACAACGGCGTGAATATTTAAATACTGTAGTTCCCGGATTTGGTAGAAGAGATTCAACACAATGGCCTGCAAGATCTCCAAAAATTACGCCATTGGATTTTTGTCCTCTAGTGATATTTTAATTCAAAAGTGTATAAGAAAAAAGCACAAAATTTAGTTGATTTAAAATTTAAAATTAGACATGATTAATGTGTTTAAACCGATTAGCATATTGCCAAGAAGTTAATGGTGGGCATTTTCAATAACTAATAAAATAATTTCTTTGGCATGCCCTGTTTCTATAAATTTTCTCTTAATTTTACTTACTGTGGATATTATAATGACTCTTTTTGGATATTTTGCGTGAAACATGTTACAAACTTCTTCTTGAGTCCTCGTTTCGTCGCCATATCCAATTAAAATTAAAATTTCAATTCTCTGAGTTTTATTTAGATGTGCCATATTCACTTTCTTTATTCTGTGTTTAAGTGATGTAAACGGCATTTCAGTAACTAGTTTATTTGGCACGAGCAGAGCGCAGCGAGCGAGTGTTTAATAGACGAGTGCCTTAAAAACTTCGCCAAACGTGTTGCATACTATACTTTTTTTCTACTCCCGTCTGTGAAATGCCTAATTACACACCGCAATAGCGTGCGGGAAGCGTCACTTTACCACGTCAGTTTCATTTCCCACGGATCTGAGTCACTTCGGACATTTCCGAGATTTTACCGCACGGATTTGGGAGCAATCGGATATTTTCGGAGATATTTTCGACACACGTTTGTCAATTCTGACGGCCATGTCAGTAAATGTATTCGTGTTGTTTTGCGAAAATGTACCCAAAAACTAACTGTCGGTAAACTTTTTAAGTCACTCGTTTATTAAACACTCTCTCCGCTTGTGTCAAATAAACTCGTAAATATACTAAATATAACTAAATATACTATTTCCATTTTTGCAAAGCAAAAACGAATACATTTACTGTCAGAATTGACAAACGTTAAAATTCAAGCCGTGCGGTAAAATCTCCGAAAACATCCGATTGCTTCTAAACCCGTATTGGTATTGGTATTAAAGGGGGGTGCCCCCGCGGGCGTCCAAGCACTTAGGCCACCTTATGGGTCCATTGTGCGCTAGAGGGCATCCAGAAGACTCCAAAACTTGCCTTTGTCAAAGCAGGGCACTTGGCGACCAGGTGATACGGGGTCTCTTCCCCTTCCATGCACCAGCAGTACTCCGGGTCGTCTCCAATCCCTAGCAAGCAAAGATACCTCCTAAGCCTGCAATGTCCTGTGTAGGCCCCTGTTAGTGCTCTACACTCCATTCTGGTCAGTCTAAGCAGCTCCCTGGTCCGAGGAAGGGTGGGTCCATCCATCATAAGCCTCGCCTGCCTCGTTCCCGGAGCAACCCTCCAGCCCACCGCGGCCCGTCCTCTCACCCAGGCTTCGAGAGCTCCCCGCCTCACGCACGAGGTGATCCCCAAACGGGGCTCTGGTCCCCGATTAGCCCTCCCTAGGTAAGGCGTCCGCTGCCTCATTGCCCCGGATCCCGGTGTGACCCGGGACCCAGACCAACATTCCTCGTCTCTGCCACTTTTCTCAGTACCCTTTTGCACTTCTTTATAAACAAGGAGCGCGTACTGTCAGAGCAGAACAATACTCTCCTGCTGCCGTGGTTGAGCCGAAGCACCTCTCTGGCCGCCCTTAATATAGAGAAAATTTCCGTCTGAAACACAGTGCAGTACTGACCCAGAGGGACCGACAAGCTCGATCCCGTTGTCTCGCAGTACGCTCCCGCTCCGGTCAAATCTCCCATTCTGGACCCGTTCGTGTACCAGACAAGTCCATCCTAGGAGCCAACTCTTCCCTCTTTCCACACTTCCCTTGATGGGAAGAGAGAGGTCAATTTGTCAAAAAGGTCATCTGGGGGATCATGACGTCACTCGGCATGCCCATGATACCGCGATCCCCGGACCAGCCGTCTAAAATGTCGTACGGGCTCCGATTAAAGGTTCCCTCTCTCCAGAGCCCGCAGCTCGCTAGTCTGACAGCCGTCCTGGCCGCCTCCATCCGCACCCGATCCGCCAGAGAGGGCAAACCCATGGCGTCCGTTATGTAGAGGCAAGTTTGTCAAGAAGTAGCCTTGCTCCTGCTCTTTTGGTCCCCGGTCACCATGCCACTGCCCCATGCGTGAGCATAGGCACCACCATGGTACCGTAGATCCACTGCATGATCTTTGGCCCCAGGCCCCAAGTGCCCCCTACCGCTCTTCGGCACGCCCAAAGAGCTCCAAAGGCCTGATCCTTGATCTTGGAAGGTTCCTGGAAGCTCAACTGGGAGTCCAACCATACCCCTAAGTACTTGACGCTTCCGCTTACAAAAAGAGGCACCCCATCCATCGAAATGTTGAGGTTACCCTTCACCTTTTCCTGGTGAAGATGACCATCTCCACCATGCCAGGATTGACAGCTAACTTGCTGTCCCGGCATCATTGTGAGAATCTTTCCAATGCCCCGTTCAGAAGCCCCTGCATCCTTCCCAGCTCCATCCCCTGTGTCATTATCACAAGGTCGTATGGATATGCCCGAGCATAGACCCCGTATTCTTCCCTCAGAATATGCAAGATCTCGTTCACCACTAGGCACCACAGGAAGGGGGGCAAAACCCCACCATGTGGACAGCCCCGTGATGATTTGATGGAGACCTGCTCCCCACCCAGTCTTGCCTCAACCCTCCGGTCGGTTAGCATGGAGCGGATCCATTTTACAATGGCCGGCCCACTCCAGTACAGTCCACCGCCCTGCAGGTTGAATACAGCGCCGTATTATTGAAGGCCCCTTCGATGTCAGGGAACACGCACACCGACAGCCGACCCGAGCCCATACCCTCCTCCAACCTGGAAGTCAGATGGTGAAGGGCCGAGCCCACAGACCCGCCGCTTCGGTACGCATGCTGAGCTGGCTTCCTAAAGGGCTTCCAGCTCTACCCAGTCCCTCAGATACCGCAGTAGAAAAAGAACTTTACTAGTACTAGCTACTTACCTGGAAGAGTTAAATAAGATATCCAGGGACGGTTGGTGTATATGCGCTTGCAGTGCCGCAGAGCTCCCAAAAAATTAAGAAACTTGCAGTAAAAATTTAATTTAATTAATTAAATAGTCTAACTACAATATTTTCTTTTATCAGCAATAAAATTCATATTTCGCAATCCCATGTTTATAATGATGAAAACTGCATTGAAATGCCGCCGAACGCGTAGGTAAAACCAAAGCCGTGATTTAAATAGAAAAGTTCGCTGCAGTTAGCCCAGCGCAGTGTCCAACAGGGTTAATCGCATGCTTAAAGTTGAGGAAATTAATAAAATTAATAATTCTTCGTTTTTGGCCAATTTAAGTTTTTTGTGCAAAATTTTTCCCACGAGCCGCCACTGTGAGAGATAGGTACAGGTAGGATTTTAAAAGAAGGAACTTGGGATCGACAACTACCTTCTGACCTGCCCTGTATATTTTGTGTATTGCAAAAAATGCACAAGAAAAAATTATGATTGACGTATGCGAGCATTTTTCTTGGTCTCCAATACCTGATTTTTAAACGAATTTGTTCTATATTTTAGCCGTTCACTGTATATAAATATATTTACAATTATCGTCTAGAATAAACATAGATATTTGAGGAGTTTCCATTCTAAGCCAGACATCTCTTTTTACATAAAATCCATTTATATCTGCCTATAGATATCCGAGTAGTCAAAATCATCGAAAAGTTTTTTCATCATTTCCTTTTTCCATTTCTGTTGTATGTATCTTATCGCAAGCACATTTGACATTATTTTGATTTCTCCCTGCCTCTTTGAAAATGAATATTTCAAATTTCAATTAGCCATCAGCGCAAACCCCTTTCATGACTAACTGTTGGACAAGAAAAAATCAATATTAACTTTTAATCCGGTTTGTAAGCTGCAAACGAAAACGTTTTCAGTCGGTTAGCTGTTTTCACTTCCTCCGGTTGATAAAATTTTGGAGGACAGCCCTGCCTTGCCTTCTAAACATTTCTGTAATTAATGCTTTTGCCAGCTCTGTAAAAAAAAATTCAGGAAACGTATAGGGCATTCCGCTTAAAAAGCAAATGTTGATCTACATTTCAAATACAGCAGTATTTAGAAAAAATCTGACTTCGCCACTGGATTCTACGTTAAAACTTCCAAAACTTATTATCAGTGGGAAAGCCAATTCTGATTACCAATGATATATTTCAAGTATCAAAATACTTTACGTACTGCTGCTCGTATTTCGTCCTCTTTTTCATTGAATAAAAATTCTTTAGGAAAAAACGGCGGATTCAGTATATAACTAATAAAAACCGTAAAAAAATAAATCTCAAATTCCGCAACAATTATGTCTAATAGATTACTCCAAATCATAATGTCTAGTTTGTTCCCTGGATATCAAATAAATGTTTTTTCATTATTACCATCATATTAGCATTTAAGTTCGTATGGGATTACTTATTCTAAAAGTTATTTGGGTTCACTTATACTTTTATATTCTTATGTTATATATACAGCGTGTTTGTATTTTCGTGAACACTGACAACTATCTTATTTTAAATAGAACACTCTGTATAACAACGAATTTTGAATTCCGCGAAATGTTCGAGATATATTTTGTATAGATTACCGTTTCTTGCATATTTGAATTTTGTATCAAAAGAAAGATTTATAGATCTAATAATAATAATAAATATCATTTGGAGTGGACTTCCTTGTAGTGGGGGATCTACTTTATGTGTTGTAATTTTTGATAGTTTTTATGAAATTTACCCTTATGGAATGGACTATTTTTGGAATTTTTAAGTCTGGAAATATTTTACAACTTCCAGCGTTCGTTGTTTGGATTATGAAGGTTGTAAGGCCTAGACCATAATACGTAACCGTTTAGAAAGCGATTTAGAACAGTTCTACGTTCACAATTTGTCACATTGCCAATGTGAAAAAATCTTTACATCTCTCTCACTATCCGTTTTGGCCACTCTGCCAAGACATTCCATTACGATGATGTCCGACTGCCGTGGCAGTTTTAATTATTGACTCGTACCAATTAAAAAACGAAAAACTGACTGATGCCGATTTGCGTAGAACGAACCAAAATATGAATGAAATTTGTTTATGTAAACAGGCAACTACGGTTCTTCGAAGTTGTAAATATTTCTCAGAGATTGTCATAATGATTTGGAGGTTTATTTACATGCTACCGGATTCGTTTTCGACATCTCTGAGCGGATCGGTAGAAGAAATAACTGGGGCCACGTTTAATTAGCAAAACTACAGAATTGACTATTCCATATCTATACAATAGTTCCAGAGAAGTATAAAGAAATTGGATTAGGATTTTTAAGCAAAAAGTTACAGGTCTGGCCTACGCCAACATCAAAAAATGCCCAGAAGGGCGGTGCAGTATGCGCATGCGCAAGAATCTATTAGGGATTTCAACAATGTACCTGGTTCGGTAGACTTTCACCCCCGGTATCGTAATTAATGAGTTTTTCCGGCCTGTCAAAATTGTCTTCGTGTTTATGTATTTTGATGACCTCTCGATGTAGTCTTGCATAATAGTGCTTCTCCGTTGACAATCCTTTCGTGTTTTTAAACCGCCGATTTTTCTACTTGTCCCAAACGGCAAGAACTTCTATGCTAAGCTAAACGTCTCGTTGTACCAATATAGACCTCTCCACAGGAACATGGGATTCTGTATACCCCGGCTGACGACAACGGTTCACGGGGATCCTTAGCCGATCTTTAACCGATGTTAATTCTTGAACGTACATTGGGACATAGGGTATATCAAAAGCCCACACACACCGACCGCTACCTGCAGAAAGGGCCAAGCCCCCATCTAAGGCAAAATATGGGAATTATGAAAACATTAGTAGACAGGGCAACTAGAATCTTCGATCCAGAACACCTGACGGCGGAATTAAATCATTTAGAGCGAGTGTTCCAAGCAAATGGCTACAAAACTAATAAAATAAAACGGGCCGTACGACCGAAAAAAACTAATAGACAAGAGACTAAAGAGGAAACGCCACGGGAAGGTCTAGCCTTCCTTCGCCGGGTCGGTAAAATAATGGCGAACCATAATATAAAATCAATTTTTAAACCCACAGGACAAATACAATAATTAAGATCTGCTAAAGATCCCTTGTTCCTATGGAGAGGTCTGTATTGGTACAACGAGACGTAGCGTCACTTCACGTTTAGCGGAGCGTAGAAGTTCTTGCCGCTTGGGACAACTAGACAAATCTGCAGTTGCGGAGCACGTGTTTTTGAACGGGGATCACAACATCATGTTTGAAAACAGGGAAGTATTGTCTACTGAAAATTACTATTATGCTCGACTACATCCAGAGGTCATCGAAATATGTAAACACAAGACAATTTTAATGAGAGAGACGAAGGGTTGCAAGTGAATAAAATATGGCACAACATCTTAAGGAAGACACACTCTAAACAGTATATGAACAACTCGGTATGGGGGCAGGCCATACCAACCCCCGTTCAGTCCGCCGTGCGTCCGAGCGTTACAACACAGGTACGACTTGGACAACTGGCACCAGTGCCGCAAAGATCGTCGCGGTACAGTCTACAGTAACAGTTGAAAGTTTTGGTAGGATAACCAATAAACCACGGCCTTACAGGCCGGAAAAACTAATTATTTCGATAGTTTTCAGTTTGAATGGTGCATTAAAAAAGTGCCTGAGGTGCAGTATTTATATTATCTATTATGGGGATTATGGGATCATTTACAATTTGCGAAATGCCGAAACTTATAATCGGACACAATAAGGAAGTGGAAAACAAACATTTTTGAACAGTTTGCGAGTAATTTGAACGTTATTAAATTCTGTATGCGCTAAATGTTCCAAAATTCCATATACAGTTGGACCAAAATTACTGTCTCGTTTACTATTCCAGATATCCGCAAACCTATTTCGGACATTGCCGCCCAGCGAAAATCCAGATTTTGACCCCGAAGAGGATGATCCCACTCTGGAAGCGAGTTGGCCACACCTACAGCTAGTCTACGAATTCTTTTTGAGGTTCGTTCCTGATGATATAAGTTTTTATTCATAAAAATGGTTTCTTATTAACTGTTAACCATAGATAATTATACAAACTGTTTGTGAGTCCGTTTAAAAAAAAAATAACGAAAATATCTAATATGTAAGTAATAGGAATTTTTTAAAATAACTTTTTGGTATCTGATTTTCCAAATTCGACGGTTCCACTAAAAACACAAAAACTGCTTCTCTGTGTTGTCAAAAAATGTCATTGGGGTGCCTTTGACTGTATTTATATTTTAAGTTAGGTTAAATTTACTGAAAACTTAAAGACGTTTGAGACATTCGAAGTTTTCTTCTTTAAATGAATCCAAAACTATTGACATTCTATTAGAAAAGATCCTGCCTAAATGTACTTTTAAAATTAATTGGTTATATTGACAATTTTCGCTAGTTACTGTTATCGGTGTTATAAACGCAATTTTAATGTACGGGTACTTCGCAAAATAAATAAGCGTGTTATTTTTAAGGCAATTGTGTCAAAAGTAAGTTTATCTTTGGAATATTCTAATCGTACTTATCAGTTTAAAAATGTAGACAAGGCGTACAGAACTTTTAGAATAATTTAACAATTTTTCAATGTATGTGATAAATACTTTCAAAGATTTAACCAAAGTTCTTCTGGATTACTCAAGGTTTCTGGAAAGTTCGGACTTTCAGCCGACAATTGGAAAACGGGTAATTGATCAGAAATTCGTATTGCAACTTTTGGAACTGTTTGATTCTGAAGATCCACGGGAGAGGGACTTTTTGAAGACAGTTTTGCATAGAATTTATGGAAAATTTCTCGGCCTCAGGGCGTTTATTCGCAAACAAATTAACAACATATTCCTTAGGTAAGTAAAATTTTATCTCAATTTGGATTAACGCAATTTAACTTAGTACAGTAGCTTTTCTATTTTAAATTTGAATTCATGTTTATTAAATGACAATTAGCTACACTATTATTATTGAGTTGCATCCTTCAAGTCCAGACTTTGTTATTCATTTTTTGTCGTTTATCTTATGCCTATTACTTTTAGTGCCGAAAACTGGATTAAATCCATATTGATTTTTGCATACGTTTAGCAACTTTATTTATTTTTAGGTTTATTTATGAGACTGAACATTTTAATGGCGTTGGGGAACTGCTGGAAATCCTAGGATCTATAATTAATGGTTTTGCATTACCACTGAAGGCTGAACACAAACAGTTCCTGGTGAAGGTATTTTTTAATAATTATTAATAAATAATTATGCTAGGACAAATTAGATTTTAAACAATTCTGTATGCTGTACCCTTTCTAGGTGCTCATTCCCCTCCACAAGGTCAAGTGCCTGTCGCTTTATCATGCACAACTTGCTTATTGTGTTGTCCAGTTTTTGGAAAAGGACCCAACATTAACCGAGCCAGTCGTCAAGGGTCTGCTCAAATACTGGCCAAAGACTTGCAGTCAGAAAGAGGTAATGTTTTTGGGTGAAATTGAGGAGGTACTAGATGTTATTGAACCTTCTCAATTCACGCGAATCCAAGAGTCACTCTTTAGACAGATTGCGAGATGCGTTTCCAGTCCACATTTCCAGGTATTAACTTTGTTTTTTTAACATTAATTTGGATAAAACAAAGCAATTTCTGACATAGGTAGCAGAGCGGGCTCTATATTTCTGGAATAATGAATACATAATGTCCTTGATGGAAGAGAATAATCATGTTATAATGCCAATTATGTTTCCTGCGCTCTATCGCATCTCTAAGGAGCATTGGAATCAAACAATTGTGGCTCTAGTGTATAATGTACTCAAGACTTTTATGGAAATGAATTCCAAGTTGTTTGATGAGTTAACAGTAACATATAAAGCCGAGAGACAAAAGTAAGTAATTTCTGGAATTCTTTCAGTTTTGGTTAGTTTTTCAGGACTCGCTAAATGTTAAAAGCCTGCTATCCCTTTGTTTCCATTACTAATCCATAAATTAATTGAAAATAAACTTTCTTCTTTTCTTTACTGGCAATGTTGCTTTAGCTAACAAATATATGGTTCTTTACATTACAGAGAAAAGAAGCGAGAAAAAGACAGAGAAGAGTTGTGGAAGAGGCTAAGCGAATTAGAATTAAACCACAATAAGAATCTATCCATAACTGGGTCGCCGCAACAAAACCAGCAGCAGCAAAATAACAATCCTCCAAGCAAAAAGTGATATGACAGCCTAACATACCCTGCGCACCGGCCAGGCTAATACGTTGGTAAGTAAACAAAACCAAATTTTCAAAAGACAAATGCATAGAGATAGTGTAACGGTGAGGGAGCAGCGGGTCGAATGAAAATGTTAAAAACGTAAATTTCGAAATATGTAATTACTATTTATTTGCAATAACACTGCGGCTGGCATAATTATGCATCTTAAATGGTAAAAAGATTTTTTCTGGTTTTAGAAATATGTACTTCTTTGTTAATTTTAAATTACAAAAAGATGTTTTCTTGTTTTGGAAATATGTATATCTTTGTTAATTTTAAATGACCGCGTAATAAAAAACAAAATATTTGATGTTTACTTCTTTTATATTATTATAAAGTGCTGGAGCCATTTTAAGCAATTTAATCGTTCGTGTTTTATTGCACAATCAGAACCAGAAATATTGAGCCATATTTAGCTGTCATGATTAAACTTGTAGAGAGTGGTGCTAGATTTACGTTTGTTTCTTTAAATCATTCTCGGGCTTATGATATTGGATGAAGTATAGAGCGGTCCATTTTAAAATTGGTACTTGGGTATGCTTTTCTACTTATTGGTGATATACTAACAAAACCAACAGTAATCTATTTTTTTAATGAGTCCCTTATGTGCTTTGATGCATTTGCTCAGAACGCAATTTATTTGCAAAAGGAACGCTACAACAGTTTACAATAATTATTTAATATTACGCCAAACATTTGCCTAAGCATTCTAAATCAAATTCTTTTTAAAAGTTTTCAATCTTCATATTTTCTTGTATCACTGTTATTTGTTTTGATTTTGGTAGAGCATTTGAATAAAAAACTGGGGAATGAAGCAGGCACAACATTTATGGAATAACATTTTCTCACTGTTTTAGCGTCAGCGAGACCCGACAACTAAAAATGGTTATGTAGTCAATTAAAAGCACAGTTAAAACTTGTATAAATACCGCAATAACCTCCAAACTCAATGCTTTTACTTTAAATATTTAATATGAATCAGAATTGAGAGCATTAGTATGTTCTCTTTCCGACTTCACTTGCGTTTTGTAATGTATACATCGGAATGATGGAGTTTTACAAAGCGAACAATTTGAGGGAGCAGCAAACTTACAAACTTAGGAAATTATTAATTTTTGGAGTAAATTTTGTTTTTAGCCGAAATTATTCTTATTTTAATTAATTTTGGTGATTTTGTGCTATTTACGATCAGAAGTGATACACTGTGATAAAAAGGGACAGATTCGAGTTTTTCCACGGTTACGATTAGATGCAGTTTGAGAGAAGGGGTGTTAAATTCTGATATATATCTGCCTTTAATAGAGGTATTGAGTTAAACCTGTTCGGTATGCTACATACTACAGCCTGGTATGCGCCTAGTGTTAATACCTATTGTTGAAGAATGCAGAAAAGTACCTCATATCTTTACCTATATCTTGCCAGCAGTTATCCTATATTTTAGTTCATTTTTCTAATAGGTTTGAAAAAATCTGTTGTCAATATACTCAGTCGGATCTTATTTCCACATTTATATTCTGGTTTCTTTTCTTCAGTTAGAAATGGAAATATGTTATACAGAGTGTTCAAATAAGAATGGGTCTCTGTCATTTCCCAGAAGGTGTTAGTGATAGACTGGGATGAATTTTTGATAATGTTAAATAAGCTAAGAACAAATGGTAATAATTATTTTAAAAAACAGCCATCCATGTTTGAACAACTCTGTATAATTTCAAATGGCAACGCTTAAAATGTGACTCTTCAGAAATATATTACTGTATAAATTTTAACAGAGTTCATCCGGAGTAGTAGGCAACTCGACAATGAAGAAGTGGAAAATATTTAAAACATACCTAACAATCCATAGAAATGATGCAGCAGCAATCAGAAAATTTCTAGTGAACGTGTTAACATTCTGTCTACATTTGTAGAGGTGAAACAGACTATGTTAAAATGTGCTATAATATATTATGTGGTTTTAAAAAAGTGAAAAATAAGAGAAAATAAACTGTATATATAGTTGCGGCGGGAAGATTTTTTTTGCAAAGTTTTGTGTATGTTTAAAATGTTTCACTTATAAGAATGTCAACTGAATATAGTCCACAGTCCTATTGCACTACAAGTGAACTTAGTTGGAGGATACATTGCAATGTGAAGTGAAGTAATAATTTCGACCCATTTACTAAATGAGAACAATAGGATTTATTTCTATCATTTCACCAGTGTCCAGCTTCACTTATCTTTGTATCATATTTTATTAAGCATATTAGTAGGAGATTTTTGTTCATTTCTACTTACAAAAATACTGTCATGGTTTTCCTGATCAGATGTTGAAAAATGTACTGAAGCAGAATATGAATGAAGATAAAAGGAAAATACAGATGGAAATAAATCAAGATGTGCTGAAATAAAATACCAAATTGTTTTCTTAGCTTAATTTTATTAGTTTTAAAACAAATTTTAAACATATACAAAACCAATAGTTCTAAAACCTGTGCATGCACACAGTGTGTTTGTCGGGGGTGAATGGGAAATGTGTTATTTAGTGTACAGAGGGCTGTATAATTTGTAGTATAAAAATAATTTTAGCTCTAGACGCCAATTATAATCTTTAGTCATATTGTTTTTGCGCTGCGGACTGTTTAACATCTCAAAAATTTGGCACGGATATTGACACTGATAGAACAGACTATCCACTAACTCTTATTATTATTTATTACGATTTCATTTAGTTTATTGATAGAAAATTCATAAATTACTGTACATCGCGCCATTCATTTATTTGCGCCATGTAATGTGGTCGTTGTTGTCTTAAATATGTTATGCGGCTAGTTGGTTTTCTTAATAAATGATAAGGGCATTAAGAAGCCTATTTTTCTGGTTATTTGTGAGATTATTTTATTGAGCACTTAAAAAATGTGAGAAATCTAACACTAACACTTTCATTCATCATTCATCTATATTTACATTGACATAATAGTTTTAAAAGTTGGTGGACAATATAATCCATTTAAAAAACATTATGATTTTTAAAGACAATAATACTAAAAAACAACATTACTGCGATCGCATAAATACAGTCTGCATTTAATGACCAATGTGACGATCGATAATTTGAAACTAATACAATTTATACAGCCAAAAAAGAAACAATTTTTTAATGGTGCCACTTCACAACTGAACTTTAGAAGCACTGTTATGTTCACTTATAGAAGCTTTGTATAAGAAAAAATATAATATAGCAAATTGTGTTTTAGATAGAAAAAAAATAACATCCTAACACATATACTTTATAATGGATTGCATGGCGAGCTCAATTCCTTGAAACCGACCTTAAAAAGTGTGTCATTTTTATGTTCACAGAGCTGGTCTGTACATTACATTAATGAAAACATATTTTGGTGTGGTTTAAATTGATTTTCAAGTTAAAATGAGCATATATTTCATGTTTCAAATAGAAGGTGAAGTAATTGGCCAAATTAAATAAGATTTTTTTTAAGTCGCGAAAGTTTATGAATGCGAATCCAGTTAGTCAGTTGACAAATCAGTATCAATGACATCATTGGTCGCAATCTTTGCTCCACCTATGTAGTAATGTCAGATATAGCTCCGTGAATTACTCTTTCGTAACCATTGCTAACCTGTGAAAGTCAGGGCAAAAAAGCCCTTCCCTCATTAGAGTAAAATATGTAATATATAATTAAATCACTATAAAACTTGTAGATATACGAGAAATATATTGTTACATTTCTATTGTTTTTTTTTTCTTAAAATAGATTATTTTGTAGTGACACTAGATCAGAGTATTTTTATGGATATTATATCTGTAACACGTCATATGTCATACTTTATTTATAAAAAAAATGCCATATATCTTATATTAATTTTTGTCATTGCAGTTGCTAATAAGTAATAAGAGAGGGGAAAATACTCTGAGTCTACATGTGCGAACTGTGAGCTAATTTTAGTTTTTTTGTTGTTATTTTTTAATTGATATTGTGAAATTAAAGCAAAACATTTATAAATCTTTCATAATAATTTGTATAAGAGCTACTTATTAACCTCATTATTTGAGGATTTATAGTATCTGCAGTTTGTCAATGTACGTACTGGAGTACGTAATAAATATTCTCATTTTGATAGTGTTTTTTTATACCTTGTGAGAAAATAAAAGAATATTTAAAAAATTGCATCGGAACGAGTTCATAACATTTTAAAATAAAAATCCAATCCACAGTAACATGCCGAACCTACATATGTATATTGGCGTTAGTTTCGTTTGTGTTTTCCTTCCACATTTTTATATCCGATTTCTATGTATAACAGCCGTTGCGCGGGTTGACGTCAGTCTCTTCCGTTATTAAATTAAATTTATTTGAGTTCCACAAGTCATACACCCTTTCAGCACTTTAAATAGGAGTCGTGAAGATATTTTTATTTTCTGTTATATGTAGCTAATTTTTGCAAAATTAGGTACAGATTACAGTATTGAAATATTTTTCTCACGGTGTCCTACTTTATTTATTAAACACTTTGCAGCAGGTAAATAGTAATTTCATATCCAACAAACATTATAGCATGTGATGGAAAGGCCCTAAGGGTTATAATGGGAAGTCCTTTCCAGAAAATCCTAGCTCCAAATTCATTGTATAGCTTCTTGATACAATCAGTAGAACCGTGATATGAAGGATATATAGGATTGTCTGCTTGAATTCGAGTTTTGACAACATCGGCTGGTAACACTGTGCTTGTCGACAAGATGCCTTGCAAAAAAGAAATACCTGTACTTAACTTGAGCCACTCTAATGAATTCTTTATTCAACCATCCGAAGAAGGGCAAGCAGCAAATCTCTACATCTCGTCAAAGGACATAATTACGCGTTCAGATTGCTGTACTTAATTACCTGCCCATCCACCAGCCCACAAGTATGAATAAACAGTTCTATTTTCTGGAAGTAGGGCTTCATAAACTACGAAATATATTCCGCTTGTTGGCACGTCCCTGTAAATTTGACATATCAGGCATGAATGCAATTAATTTGTTTCAGGCATGAATGCAATTAATTTGTTTCTTAGAAGTTTTGAAGTAATTTTTGAGCCAAATATCAATTTTTGGGGTTAAAAATAGTTTCAAATGAACATTAAGTGTATTTAATAATTTCTATGGTTTAATACAAGTTAATTTTCAATACATTTGAAAACGTTGAACAAATATCTAATGCCGCACAGATTTTCCTAAAAAATCGATTCTCTGCATTATTTTTTACTGGTTTGTGAGAGTATTGTCTGTAGGTTGAATTTTTAACATAGATAATCGTAAACTTTAACAAAATATTTGCATAAGCAGCCACATAGGTGTACCTGATCAGCATAGGGATAAATCCTCTATATAATCCTTTAAAACCATCTTGATTAATAATGCCACGGAACGCTTCGACGGGACCTGAATATTGTATTGTATATGAATTGTGTACCCAGGGGCTTGCACCGTCAGTTGTTGTTTGAAGGACGGTCTTTACCAATTCGACTGGACACATAACTGCAGCTTGAAAAAAACCAGCAAAACTTCCTGTTACAAACGTATATTATTTCAAAAAGGTTGATTTTTAGGGAAAAAATCCATATATACCTGCATAAAATTGTTTGAGATAAAATTCGTTCATATTGTTGTCAACCATATATGGATATATGGACCTATGCTGCAAACATCTGAGGCAGATTCCGTGTAATCCAAAAAAAATTGAATTACTCGGACCATACGCGATCATTGGCGATAAAAGACCTTTGTAAAATGCTAATATGCCTTCATGTCTGTAAGTTTCTCTAATTGCTATGTAGAGACTTGCCGAAAAATTCTGTTGTCGCACTTTGATGGTATCTAGCGGATATGTAAACGCCAAAGAAACAAGCCCTAATATTTAATTAAAAAAAAAACAATTACATACTCGTTAGGATGTGATGTAAACTGCGCCATCTAGGTAGGTATCAGCTAGACATATTATTTATTACATTTTATTGTTTTATTATTTACTTTTATGGTTTTTGAGTAATTTGGTTACATAAGTAGCGTTGTGAAATTGACCTGTAAATTTTTTTTCTGTCAATTGACCGAAATAATTTTAAAAATATAATAAATTTTTATTTATTTTTTTATTTTCATTTATATTGTGCGTTACGTCGCCGTCGCGTCCTTCTGAAACCGACATGGAGTAGATATTTTTATTGGGATTCCCCGAATCGCCAAGTATCGTATTCAAAGTACTCATTGAAAAGGGTTAGAGCTAAATTGGACATCATAAACGCATAATAATTTATTATAAAATACATGTTATTATGAATGAATGATTAGGAAGTGGTCAATTTACCAGCCCCAAGGCCTTTTACATGAAGTAGGCCCTGCCTATGCCCGTAATACCGGAACTTAAGAACCAACTATGAAAATTTTTTTGACAAGTGCGCGAGATTTAAAATCTTATCTAATGAATTTTCGGCATTCAACAACCAACATGGCCGCTACAAATTTCTGAAACTACATAGACGACACGCTTCCACCTTATTTTCGTTTACACGACCGTTATTCACAGCAATAAGTATTATGAAAAAATTGTAGGAGACAAAAGGTTTTAAGTCAAACAAAATAAAAAAATGTATTTTTTGTTATATCAGTTTTTCCTTAAATTTTGTTAAGAAGCACGATAGAGGTGGTCTATCCAATCCCTCGACTAATTAAAATATGTATATGTATATTATTCTCTAAGGTGTATATAAGAACCAATCCTTTATTTTATACGGAATCATAAGTTTGTCGCATTTGTTTTGAAACTATTACACATTCTAGTGACCCAACTATGATAAAAATGGATGCGCCTCTGGTGGCAATGATATTTTCCTAGAGAAGGGAATAATTTTCCGCGCATGCGTCTAATTTTACACACTGACCTGCATTTTGTGCCATTTTCAACTATGGGACAAAAATGAGAACGTCCATTCAACATGCGCATGCGGAAGATTTAAAATTTTATATTTAACAAATGACCTTGAGACATTCAACAGTTAACATTGCCTCTGACAGGTCATTAACAAATTTCTGGGAAAACGATCTAAGTGAGTAGAAATCGCTGTTTAGAAAAAAAATTACGCAAGTTCAAGTTAGTGTGCGAAATGTAGAGGCATGCGCGAAAAATCATTATCTTCTCTCCGAAAAAAAATAATATCGCATCAATTTTAACCAACAACAGCAACCAAAGGATTTAGTTTAGATTTATCATTTTTAGGCCAGTATTTTCTGAAAATCGTTGTTTAGAAATTGCAAGAATTTTATATCTTTGAAAAGATCCTAAGAAGAACCCATAATAATGTCAACAAATATTTATTAGTCTAATGGTATTCAAAAAGAAAAAAAAATAACACTTTGGCATTAATAATATGTAAAGAAAAAAATATATATTGTAGATTGGAAGAATGTACAACATTCGTGTGCCAACACTTATTTTTTATCTATGTTGAATGTTAATTTTTATGCCTAATCGTGTTCTATGTTAACTTTGGGAAGTTTGACGCATTGAATGTCGATAGTTTACAGTAAACATGCAAATTGTTTTCAAATTATGATTTTAAAAAAAATGTAAAGGAATGATTTAAAACTATGGTTCCAATAGGGTACCATCATACATATGTCCATATCTATGCAACCAGTAAAATGATTGTTCATAATAAACTGCCTAGCATCCTTAGAGAATAAACCATTTTCCTTACGTCAAATATCCAAATTAAAAACCGTCTTATAAACAATGGAAAATTAAGTTTTTTGGGTGCGACTTGAAATGTGCCTTATTGTAACTATTTAAGTTAATCAGTAGTTACCTCCAACCCAACCAGCAATGAAATCAATAATAAATACGTCTTTCATAGTTACATTGACCAAGGAATTCGATTATTTGAAATATCTTTGCTTTCGCTTGGAACTCTGTTAAGATGTGATTGAATTTTCAATTCGTTTTTGTTAAATTATAAATAGTTTAAATTGACGTTGAAGTGTTATTTGAGGAATGACACTTGCCAATGTTTGGCAAAATAATTGTATATCATGTTATCCCGAAAAAATAAAGATTTAAGGGCAATAAAAGAAGGGGTTGTGGGAAAGTATGTAAAAAAAGACACACCACCTGAAATGCCAAGTAAGTGGATATATACAAGATTATTTAAGCTCTAACAAATTTGGGTCAACAAATATCCTTATTTTACTTCTAGTTATAAATGTTTGGACTACAGAACCAAAAAGGCGTATTTCAAATCAAGGTAGATCTTCTTTACCTCCACAGACTACAAACGTAAACAATTTGCATAATACCGTGCAGAAATTTGGAAATCAAAAGGCCACTGTGAGTGATGTTGGACTTGGGGCTCATGAGGGAAAATATACCCCAAGTTCTTCAGTACCTGATCTAGCCACAAGGTAACAGTTGGAGATTTTTTCTTTTTCTATCGAATACTTTGAGTGTCTGTTTCAGATTTGCAAACTTATCTGTCGGTATTTCGGCAGAAAATAGCAGTGTATTAAATTCTACTTATAGTAGTACCTCCAATCTTAATACATCTCATCACATCTATGTAAACCAGCCAGTGAGCTCAGCTTATGTTGATAATTTTGCTGTAAGTATTAACCAGTGATAACCAATTTAATTAGTTTTTAAGAGTTACCAAGTACACATTGTCTATTTTCACTAAAGAAATATCTAAATTCAGCAGTTTATTGGTAGGTATTGGTTATTAGCATTTTATTATTTGGACAGTTCCAGTATATGAATGTAAATTTTTGTTAATCTTTCCTTGTAGAACAATGCAAATTATGTAGAGATCGATCAAATCTACCCTCTGCCGGCAGAAACTAGAACTACCTACAATGATATCTATAACAGAACAAACTCGCCAATTTACCAAAATACTCAAGACAGTAGTCATGAGACCCCAACAACACCTATTTACAGCAATACCAACTTGGAAAGATTTAGAAGTCAATATCAAGGAATGTCCTATGGAGAATCTTTGGCGCAAAACTTAAAACATAGTTTGGGAAGAACTGAAAGCACTCAAGGTTTGTTTATGTAGGGCATACAAAATAAACATTTTTGTATGCCTTTTATTATTTGATAACTTTTGCCTTGTAATTGTTACACTTTAGATCAATCAGAAGAGCTACCTCTGCCACCTGGTTGGTCAGTTGATTATACTTTAAGAGGGAGAAAGTATTATATAGATCACAATACAAAAACAACTCACTGGTCTCATCCTCTTGAAAGAGAAGGATTACCCACAGGATGGCAATGCATACAATCTCCTATGTATGGAGTTTATTATGTTAAGTAAGTTATTTTTCGAAATATCAAACAGATAATTACAGGCTATCAAAATTCATTTCAAGTTCAAGTAGTAATAATAAATATAATAATTATAAATATGATTTTAATTTCAGTCACATAACTAGGCAAGCACAATATGAGCACCCATGTTTAGTTCCTTGTTACAATTATGGAAATTTTACGCCTCAGACATATCAGAGGTATTTACCTATGAGACCAACTCATTATCAGCCTCACAGTGTGTTAGTACCAGCTAATCCTTATTTACTTGAAGAGATTCCACACTGGTTGAATGTTTATTTTAAAAGTAGGTATTTAAATATTAATAGTTTTGTACAGAGTATATTTAAGGGAAGGAATTCTTAAGGCCCCTGTAGGAAAAGCGTTCTAATATAGGTTTTAGAAATGCATTGTCTTGCTCAATAAGTATAATATATTCAATACCTAAGGGTCAGTGGCTGATGAGGTAATTTTTTAGATTAGGTAATAAAAATTATAACCTTTATTTCTTTTTTCCTGTCACTGTGCTTTGTTTTCAAGAAAAAAAAATTGTATTTGTATCTTCTTCAGTTGTTCATATATTTTTGTGTGGATAAGCAGTAAACAAAATATTTCCATGTCTTTGAAAACACGCTTTATGTAATCATTTTGGTTCCATTGCATGTTGAGATATTTTAGCTAGCACAGAACTAGACCACAAACTAAGATGGGATATGTTTCGTCTGTCTGAACTTGAATGCTACAATGCCATGCTTACAAGACTTTACAAGCAAGAACTACAAAATATAGTTATGAGATATGAGTCATATAGGTAAGTTTGTGTAGTTTCAGTCAATTTATATATATATATATATATATATATATATATATATATATATATATATATATATATAGTATACTATATATATTTATAT